CTGTTGGCAGGGGGTCCCATCTCCAAACATAGACACTGGGGAGCCATTAAGATGATTCAATGACCAAACCATGTTCTGAAGAATCCTCAACTCCTCGTCCTTCTTGTTCGGGAATAGTTTCTTGAGGGAGCAAAAGGCTGATGGCAAGGGAAAGATGTTGCCAATGGACTTGGTCATGCAGCTTGAAGATAAATATTGAAACAGCGATGCTCCCAAATGAACTGCTCCCTCGCCAAAAGTAAGGCCCCCCAGCATCTCTCCTACTCCCTTCTGCGCCTCTACCTCGGGTCGGCCCGAGGGCAGAGGCACCATCCCCTGGCTAGGAGCGCTATTGGCTCCCATCATGCACGGCAGTACCTCAATTCTTCCACCATTCTCTGTCATCTTCCGAGGGACGCTGTGGTCCAAGGTCTCATCCTCCTCTGTCATAGTCCGGTCCTCACCTCTCCCATTCTTAGGAGCTCTCCAGGCTGACACTTCCTCCTCTTGGCTGACTCCTGCCTTCCTTACTTCTTCTCCGCACCTTTTGATCCCTTCTCCTCCTTGCCTTTCTTGCTCTTGCCTTTGCCGTCTCGTCCTTTTCCTGGCTCTCGCCAACCACCCTTCGGTTGCTGCTCCCTCCCAGGAGCACCTTTTCCAGGGTTCTGCCAGGCACCTTCTCCGCGGGCTTCCTTTATCGCAATCGCAGCCTCCGCCCGGGTTGCTACCTGAGCTGTCTCCAAGGGGCACAGCTCCATCTTCTGAGCAGTCTGCCACGGCATCCCCTGAGAGACCTGCTCCAACGATTTCAGGCGCTGCAGCAACAGGTCGATCTCCTCGGCGACCCTCCCTTGGGCCAGGAGGTCCGCACCATAGGCCAGGGTGAACGCTTCTCGGGCCATCGCGCCATGAATTTCAGCTGAAGCACCGTCCTGAAATAGTGCACTCCCACCGGCGCCAAATCTCTGTTTTGGCCCCACAGCTGCCCTGAAGCCGCGACCAACGACTTCTTCATCTCGTTGATGGACGCCGCCGCCAAAACTCCTGGGCCTCTTACTCCAACTCTCCTGATCCTCTGCGCCTCCTCGAACACCCCCGCGTCCTCCTCCTCTGTCGACTCCTCTCCCGCAACAGCCTCAGGCTTTTCTTTACCTTCCTCACCACCTGTCTCCTCACCTTGACGTCCGGGTCCATCCCGGTGTTTCCAACCACAGCGCTCAGCTCCTTTGTTGCTTCGACCTTTACTCCTCTCTTCGCCTTGATTTTCTTTTTCTTCTTCTTCTTTCTCCTCCGGCTGGATGAGCTGGTTGAAGAGCTTGACTCGCTTCTCGCCCTCTTCTTCTCCATACCTCCTGTCTCCTTTTCCTTTACCTTTGTGCTCTTTCTTCCAGCCTTCAAATCCTCCTTGTCCAGCTCGTTGCCCCTCTCTCTCAAGGCCGCCATGTCGTCCACCTGAATCGGCACACGCCCCACCAGATTGTCCAGCCACGCCTCCCCTGCGCCTGGGAGGCGAAGCCTGACTTTCTTCACGTGGACCAACCCGTCCTCGCATAGGCCTGCCACGCAACCGTCCCCGCACATGTGTAGCTTGCATCGGCTCGCTGGGTTCCCTGTCGACCACTTGTTCTCCGTGCCCAACAGCCGAACCTCCACGACGACCCCTGCTCCGTCCTTCTTCGACTCTCTCCACTGTTCCACATAGCGTCACGGGGGCTTCCCAGTAGTTGCCTTCAACCACGATCAAGCTCTGGCCTGGCCTAATCAAATGTCTTGGCAACTCCACAACGTTCACACTCTCCCCTCTCTCAAACCTCTCTTCAACTGGAGCCACCTCTCTACCAGCCGGCCTCCTCAACACGGCAGGGTCCTCTCTCTCTTCCTCCCCAGCTGGTCTCCTTCGGACCCTAGGAGGAGCTACCGGCAGCCGGGCAAGGGCTCTGGCTCTCCCCTTCGCAGCTGCTTTAGCCTTAGCAGCTCCTCGTCTTCCGCCCACCTTCGGAGGCATCAATCTCCTCGGCCTCCCCAGCGCTTTCCACCACCTTTTCCTTTTCCTCCACCAAAGCGCTCTCTGAACCTCCTCTGCTGCTCTCTTTTCTTACGCCCTTTGTTCTTACCTCTCCTGTCCTCACCTCTGTACCCCCGGGAGCCTCCGCAAAGGGGACCGGCTGAGGTCCCTCTTGATCTCCTCCTTCTCCCTGCTGTCTGATGCTTCTTCTCTCCTCTCTTCACCTTCAGCCCGTTCCTCAGTGGCCTCCTTGCTCTTTGCAATAAGCCGCCTGATGTGCCCTTCACTCGAAGTGCTCCTATGCCTCCTCGCTTGATCCTCCTTGCTTGATGACACCGGAGAGGTGGGGGTCCGATGCCTGGCTTCCCTTGGACGCTCCTCTTCCTCCTCGCTCGCGGCGGGTTCCTTGACCCCCACAGACCCTCCGACCTGGTGCCACGGAAACTCTTCGCTTCCTCTTTTCAATTCCTTTCCTCCCGGACTCCTGGTGACCTCCAGACTATCCTCACGTTTCCCCCTCGATGACCTAGACCTCTTCCTTTTCCTCTCCTTCTCCTTCTTTTCCTCTTTCTTCTTTTTCTTCTTCTCCTTCACTCTCTCCTCACCGGCCTCTTTGGCCCCAGCAGCCTCTGCCGCTGACCCTGTGTCGGAGGCCGGGGGGACTGCCAGGTCCCCCGATCCTCCCTCAGGAGCTCGAGCTCCCGCTGGAGATGCTCCCTCGGAAGGAGCACCTCCTACCCCTCCCGTCCCAGGAGGGGTTGCTGCAGGGGGCTGGTTTGTCAACCAGTGATCCCGATCCCGAAGGTCCAGGATCTCCCCCTGCAGCAACCTCACACGCTCGAGGGCCCGGCTCCAGAAAAAGTAGGAGCTAGACCCTCGGCACAGGTCCCTGACCCTGCTAAGGGTCAGGCACAAGTCGCACTGGCACACTCCTTCGGAGGAGTGGCCAGTGGCCATAACCCGCAAGCCGAAATCTGGCGGAACGCAAACCTAATTCATCTTTACATACCGGGGCGTTACATCATATACATATATATATAGAGATATAATGTGTCATATACACTCAACAAGTACCTTTTAGGCTGATCCAGACGCAGGTAAACAGCGGCCCTTTCAACTAAAACATGTTGAATACGTCACTGCGGGATCGGCCCGGCCTGACGCCGGCCTCAGGGAGAAGCATGGCTCGTTGCACCAATTTGGATGGATGGCATTGTGCCTGCTGGCTGCAGTTGGTGCCCGCGGAAAACTAAATGGAATATGAGCCCTCCAACTCAGGCAGAACCTGAACGAGCCTTGCTCACCTGAACAAGCCTTGCTCATCAGCAAGTCCTTGCCCCTTCTCGGAGATGACAATGAACAATGTCCATTAACGTTCCAAAAAAAAAGAAGCTCGCAGACTCTTGGAAGGGGGCTACTTGCTTTACCGCGCTGTGTGGCCAGAGGGTCGTGGTGATGCAGCAGAGTACATGTTTCGAAAGAACGCGACCAATTGCGAGCTTCACATCCGGGCTCAGCCGTCGCTTGTCCGGGACCCCCTGGCGCGGCAGTGGCGGCCGCCACCGCGGCGGCAGCGGCAGCGAAGGCGGAGGCGAACTTGGAAGCCTCCGGAGCCGTCTGATGTCTGATCCCTGGGAGCTTTTCTTTGAAGGTGGGGTGCCACATGGGTCCTATGTCAGAAATGCCCGGGCTCCATGGGAGCACGTGAGCGGCTGGTCTTGAAAAAACATTGTACTGATATAGCAATGAACAAATGATGTACATCACAATGATAGAAGAATGAGAATCCTATGCCTGGCAAAACGGTCCCCGATGCTGGCTTCAGCCCTGCTCACACTCGCCTACTCGCTGTTCGGCACGCCTTGGCCTCTGCAGCGGCCTTGGCGGCGGCAGTCACCTCTCTGGGAAGCGCCAATGGAGTGCCGAGTGCCGATGCCAAGACGGTCTGTGGAGGCAAAACCAGCCAATACCGAAGCATATCGGGATTGTCATGCTGACGCTTTCGGCCACGTAAGGAAAAACTGTAATGGGTACAGAAATTGTTGTTGCCTTTGTCTGGCTCCGTTTCGAAGAGATGAAAAAGCAAACGGTTGCTGCTCGAAGCTGGGCAAGTGATTGTAGTTGGCTGTGGAAGTGCCTGGTAAGCCGTGTCGTGTCGCCGGTGTGGTATGTATCTACATGAAGAACCTCTTCAAAACATCGGAGAAGACACAAACCAAAAAAAAAACAAGAACAAGTTGGGTGGCTCCTCAAAGAGAGGACTCCTTCCGTCTCGAAGACTTCATCTGTGGCTTGGGCCCTGGAAATGCCCAAGGCTGCCCAAGGCCGGACCCCGCACCTTGGGCACCTTGGGCACCTTGGGCACCGCCCGCTTCGCAGCCTTCCTGCGGCGTCGATTGGCTGTGTGACCCCCGAGCGAGTGGCTCGTTTCATTCTGGCGTCTGCTCGAATAACAAAAATGCCCCTCACCAAAAGGGTGCGCTGTGGTCTGCCCCTTGTGGCAGGGATGACCTGGAAAACCCTGACAGAGGCAATTTGCAATTCGAGCGCTCTGTTTACTGTTCATGTTCAGAGCAAGTCTGCCCAGCACATCCCAAAAGATGCATGGTGGCCAGGGTGATGCAACTCTGTGAGTTGCCTTTCTCCCCTCAGGTTATGGGAGTGGCTCCGTGACTTACACGATGGGCAGGTATCATTTCCAGCAGTCAGTTCACGCTCCGGTCCCACACATGCGCACTTGTCTGTTTTTCTCTGGTGGGTCCACGACACGGCCAGAGTCGGCTGGAGTCAGCCAGAGCAAAGCACACGCGTGTCTCTCTTGGCTGGGCTAGTCCCAGCCTCACAGCGAGGGGTCGTGTACTTTGGGTGTTGCCGTGGCATCATTGATTGATTGAAATGGCACGTAACTCCAAGCAAATGCAAAGCCTGATCCTCATCCTGCTTGATGGCTCAACCAATCACTTGGGCAGTCTCAGTAAAGCGCAAACCTGTTTTGAGAAAAATCGCTGACTGGAGGTGGGTGGCTTGTCCAACATACACAGACATCCCGCTTATTTAAGTTCCCTGGAATGCCAGGCCCAAAATCAGGCACTTGCATTGCGAAGACAAGAAGCCCGGATTCAGACAGAGAGAGAGAGAGAGAGTGAGAGAGAGAGAGTGAGAGAGAGAGAGAGAGCGAGGAACCTCTCAAGCATCTTGCGTTAAGCCCTCAACCAACTGGTACACCACCGCAGCGGTGACGTCGGAGACCGCCTGCTTGTTTTCGAGGTACTCCTGCAAAGCTCCCCCTGGGTGTTGACTCAGGCCATTGCAGGCATTGTCACAGCAGCACAGCCTGGCAAGAAAAAGCAGAGTCCGTCCCTTCCACTAATATGCTAGATTTTATGGAACATGAAGGAATCCCCGAGGAAACCATGTTCTTTGTGTTAAAGCAACACAAGGTTTTATGTCCGAGTGCAATACAGCAGTGAAGACAAGGTGAAAAAGCACTAGCACTAGAATGCGCACAGAATGAAAGGTCAATGCAAACATGTGTTGCGAGGAAAGGATTCAATGCGTCACCTCCTTCATCGCTTGCATATCCTTGCTAGCCATGTTGGGCCGGGTAACTCACACACAAAGCCGGCGGGAGGCATGTTTCATCCTGCAAACATTCTGAGCCATCATACAAGGCCTGCAATTCACTGAGATTGACTTCAGCTTGCAGGGTTCTGCCAACCGTGGATTGTGCCAACCTTCTGAGCAAAGCTTGGTTGCATTGACAGTGTGTTGCTTGGCTTGACATTATTGCCACTGTTGCGAGGTTGACACCCTGATGTGTCCATCAGATGTGGGTGTGATTCTAAATCACTGGCTCTTCCTTTTCCGAACCATCAGGTTCTGGGCTTCGCTTTGAGATGTGCCCAATGAAACAGGACAGCCAAGCGAAGGCGCCGGGGGACCTTTGGACCTTCCTGATTGAATTGCCGGGCCACACGAAGTAGGGTATATGGAGCTCTTCGCAGAGCATCCACTCGTTACCCGCAGTCATGCCCACCACGTGGCCGATGGGCCGGTAGCTGCGGATCTCTGCTCGAGTCTCAAAGCGGGGGCCCACCGTGTTCACGTACACCTCAGTCAGAACTCTGCGCGTAGGGGCCATTAATCCAGCTTCAATTGGACAGTGCTTGATCGGAATCCACCGTCACTGGAGACTTGACCACTGCGAATCAGTGAATGAGTTTAAGTGGGGAATGCTGAGATGATCGAGTCGCAGATGTGTGAATCTGCAGCTCGGAAAAGGAGAGTGATCCGCTCGCCACTGGGATTTGTGAACATATGTGTAAAATGTAGAGACATTTGGAAGACTGGTTCATTCCCAGTCGAGGGCACAAATCGCAGATGCGCAACACCTCCTCCCAGTTTTGAGGAGGCTGCAACGCGCCGACGGCTTGGTCTGTCAAGTCACTTGGGGGAGAAAAAAAACCACAAGACGTGCAAGACAATGAAGGCCACTCTCATGCCTACTGCCATCCCAGCTCAAACGAGGAGCCATCTCCTCCTCCTGCACCAATGGCCAGCTGGTCGCCGTCTGGCCCTTAGCAAACTTCACCTGGCGTAAGTCGGTTGGCTCAAACAACAAGATTGTGGCCGTCTGCTAAACACCAAGTATTGTGCGCATAACTTGCCACCAGTACAGGGCAGTAGAGGGTATCGCCATTGCGCAATGCTTGTTTCTGAAGGAATCATGGCTATGATCACAAATCCGGCCCACAAATTTAACATTGTATTTAATTTCATGAGTCTGCAGAATCTCAGAAGACTCAGAAGTGGCTTTTTGGGTTTTTTTCAAACTAAAGCTTGATTGTTGAAGTGCCCTTCACTGGTAATGGGTTGGCATGCAAGGACTGAGGATGAATAACCCTGAAGTCTGGTGTCTCGAAGTTGTTCCCGCCCTGACCAATCCCACCTTCCCCATGGGGCCCAACCCCCACGACACGGCCGCCTTGTCCCTGACTTTCGCCAGGACGGGCTGCAAGATCCGCTGCAGCTTCGCCACCCACTCCGCCCGCGAAGCCGGGTCCGCCGGGGAGTAGTGGATGCGCCCCAAGCCTCCGCACCGGCCAAAAGCCCTGATCAGTTTCTCGCGCAAGGGACCGCAAGGGATGCAAAGAAAGGTGTTGACTTGACGCCACAGTATGACGCTGGGGGGCACCCCCGCACAAATGAAGGCCACGATGCGTGACGAGGTCCGGCCTCCCTCTGGTTTCTCGAAGGCGCCGATCTTCGGATTCCCCCAAAACGTCACCGGCTGGGGAGTGACCATGTAGTAGTCCTGCGCTGACACGTGAGCATTGATCTAGATCCCTGACGGGGAACACCACCTCATCATTGCTGGCTGTCAAACTCCCCAAAGGCCCAAGGTTGGAAATGCCAAACAAGAGCACGCAAATCCCATCTTGCGCCTCTGCAGCCACCATGGAGCAAATGGGGATCTCCTCCGGGTGCAGTGTGCCAGTGCTGCTCAATGAGACCACGCCGGAGCACTCGCAGCTCGACAGCGCCCAGACCAGCGCCCGGTAATTCACCATGTGCGGCGGCGCATACTCCACCTCACTAGTGGCTGGCTCGGGTCAGCTTGCGCACCTACGCCCTGCAAACACACGCGAACAGAAACATTCACTAGGCAAACCAGCGAAAGCATTACTCTACGCTGATCTCAAGTAAAACAGCTGCCAGGACGGCCTCCCAGGCCCCAAAAAAGGTTCTCCCAAAGTTTCGGCCTCCCCGGTCTCCGCGTTGACCTCCGTGCAGAGGTGCCGGTTGGCGAAGAGCACCCGCCGCTCGGGGTCCATGGCCGCCAGGACGCAGGGCCCGAAGGGCGTGTCCACGATCCAGCGGTCCTCGCCCCGCACCTCTCGCGAATGGCGAGCGGTGGGAACAAAGCGGAGGCTGAGATCAAGCCTTACGGCGATTGTGAGCTCTGAAGGTCTTCTGGAAACTCTCACATCTACCCCCTCTCTAAAACTACAAAAACGGGAGCACTAAGCATATTGTTGCACTTTCAGATATCATGGTGGAACAACAATTTGTTGCGGCATCCAAGATGCTGTGAATCAAGAAACAGCGCATGTCAATTCAGGCAGAAAGCAACCATCTGTTTTGGGTCAAGATGGTTGTACTCAAGGGGTTCAACTTTGTTCCCAATGGTCTCCACATTGAGTAGCTCAATCTGATGATGCTAACAAGTTCTACCGCATATCAATAGGCGCATCTTGTCTAAACTTAGGCGCCTCACTTTGGATTGCGCACAAGCTCGCAATGTGCAAAGTGTGTTGATGAAGCTCAAGTTGCAAGAACTTGTGCGGGTCAATGTTGTGCAGGTTGTGCGCAATGGCGCAGAAAGAATGTGCCTGTTGTTCCCTTTTGAGAAACAGCCATGTTGGTGTGTGCGCGTGATAGAGCCCTGGGCAGGGGCATCATAGACCCAATACTTGATGAGTCACAGTTGTTCATGTGGCCAGTCAAACACCTTCTTGCATTTGACTGACAGGTCTGTCTATCCTTCTCAAGCACCTGGCCCTCTTTCCGAGCAACATGACTTGGACCTAATGTTTGTCTGAGAGTTGATGCCAATCCACGAAAAGAAAGTATTCTTGCGTAGCCGGTACATGAGCCCTCAGAGCACTGCACCATCCACCCCACCGCTCGCCTGCACACCGCTCCCCCCGATCAGCCCATACCGCGGTAGCGGCCCCAACGGCTTCGCCATGGCACCGGTGCACTGGCCCTGCACTCAAATGGCTGTTGGTCCCAAAGAGAAGGCCCTGGGGTTGCCCCACCGATCATGGATCACGGGGCCCCTTGGCTTGACTGGCTACATTTCCTCTCGCTGACGCTTGCAGTACTATTCTGGCAGGCTCCAAGCGGTCGACGATCTTTTCAAGGCGTCAAGCTTGATGGCACTCTGCAAATGTGAGAAACATTGGGCTGGGGACTTTCAGCAAATGCTCATCTGAGGTGCATGATCAATGGCAAGCTCCCGTCCTGCTCTGCATTGGGCTCTTCGACCGCGAGCGCTGCTGAGGTCGCTGGCCCTGTGGAGCCCAGCTGAACCCACAGCAGAATGGGCGGAAGCAAGCAGAACGAAGGAAAAGCCACTTGGAAAACCGGAAACCGGATGGGGTTAGGCTTGCTGTAATTGTCCAGAACAAACTCCCGAAGGCATGTGGAACACTCAAGAGCTCTCGACACGAGATTGGCCCTGCGCCGCTGATGCCTCCGGATCCTCTGCATCGAATGGGTCAAACTCCCATCGGTGCACCTGCACCGACAGCCAAAGAGGACGCCGACATAGGACAAACCGCATCGCCACATGGCTTGTTTGCCCACTCTCCCCCAAACAACTTGGATTCCTTTGATAGAACCTGGCTACCTGAATTCGAACATGCGTCCCCACAACCCCACAGCTTTCACTGCACTGCCCACCTTCCATTCCTCGCCGATGCCAGTGGGCAATCGCAGCAGCAGTCTGCTCACCTGCCCGGAAGGGAGGCCTGCGGAACAAATGCCCCATCGAAGCCCCGAAAATGACAGCGGATCACGGGGATGGTTCGCTTCCGCGCAGCTTCAAATATGATACGCTCAGTGATGTGGTTTGGGTTGGGTATACGGAGACCTTTTCCAAATGGCAACCATCAGCAATTGCCACCTGCATAAAGAAACAAACAACGTCAGGATCTAGTCACCATCTCTCCCCACGCCTTGCCCTCCGTCCGCTTCAGCTGGGCACTGGATCTGGGGAGTTTGCAGTGAAACAAAACTGGAAGATTTTAGGCATTTGCTTGCCCTTGCCCACACTTGCCCATGCTTTCCCCGCACCACTGGCAGTACCTGACAACCAATGCCCAGAAATTTGGGGGGGGCGGGGGGGTCCTTGCTGAGGAAACATCCTGTGACAGCGCACTGCTTCTTCAAGCTTGTGGACCAGCCGTCTGCCACAAGGAATTGAATCAGATCGCTGCCAGTTGACGACATGGACAGAAGGGGGACAGATATCAAAAAAAGCCGCCCCAACCAAGCTGACCCGGTCCAAATAGTCTTTTCTGCAGTGCGCCTCTCATTGGAAGAGAAAAGCCGAAATCCGCTCTCGCACCTGCCACCCGTCATGGCAGGGGTCATCAAAAGGTCATTGCCCGTGCACGACACGGTGCAAGCCCTTCTGATTGCCAAACAGGAAGCTCATGCCAGAGCCGCACTTGAAGACACATCAAGATAGTGTTGGTTGAGTCAAAGACAACAAACAAATAAAATGCTCCAGATCGCAAACGAAGCAAGTCCATGCATCAAGCACTGAAAGCGGAAGTAAGCAGCCAATGCAAGCAGCCTCAAATCAGCCAGAGCTTCCAAGCATTCCGCGTGACCCTGAGCTCGCCTGGCGCCTTGCCGGGGCTCAAGGCTCTGAAGTTCTGCCAACTCCCAAGTCGTTCGCTTCTTGCATGTCATTCAATGCCATGTCTGGATGAGCCAGTTGCCCATGGCTTGTCATTCTATGAGAGCCTGCTCTTGTGTACAGTCATCTGTTTGGCAAAACAATGACTGCAATTAGACAGCATGATAGTATGACGTGCTTGCTTTTCGACTCGTCTCATGGTCTCTCCCTGCAGCGTGCCTCAACCTCTCCTTCCATGGCTTCGTATCTCTGCAGCTCCTGCAGTCAGTGAACGGTCCAGCTGCATGTGCGACAGTTCCAAACGAGGCCTCGGGCCATGCCAAGATGCCAAGGGGTTGGGAGCACCGAGCAAATTTGCAGCACTTCCGCCCACCAGCCCTGAAATGACTAGTGAAGCTTGATGTGAGCGGCGGCACAGCCAGCTCAATCCAGAGCAAGGCATGCTCAGGGGAGCAGCGCATGAACTGTTCCACAAATTCATATGGATCCCAATTGAAGATACCAGCGCAAAATCCCTTGGAGAGGGCCAAGAGACAGATTCTCTGCCCGGATGTGTATTCTACGCGGAACCAAGACTTGACCCAATTCCACCCTCGCAAGTGTCCCTCTCCTCCAGCTTACCGTCCAGGCGGGACAGCCGGGCCAAGGAACTGCAGCAGCTGCCGACCTAAGCTGCCCAAAGGAGCCCAGCTGACTTGAGGCCCGGATTTACACAAAGTCAGAGCCACTCATTCTGCGCATTCTGCTGAAATGGCCGAGAACCAGCCGCAACCTATACATGTCCGCCTCAGCCCCCTGTGAGGCTTGCTCAACAGTCTGGTTCTCTGAGAAAACAAAGGCAACCCGCGAGTCGGGGTCTTGATTTCAACTGAATTTGAAGAAGCAAAGGGCTGGAGGGGGGAACTATGCAAAGAACCCCAAGTTGTGAAAAGTCCGTGAATTCTTCGAGACAGGAACACCTTCCCAGGCCAGAGATGTTGCATATATACACTGTGCATAGATATCAATGCTTTTGCGACCCAACCTCTTAATGCACCAAGGTTCAAAAGCGCTTGGGTGCTTTATGGTTTCCTACAAACATGCAAAGTTGGGGGCTATCCGGTGCCAAATTCCGGCGATGGCCTTTGCAGTCCTGCCCATCCCGCCAGGGCGCCCGGCCCGGCCCCCCACAACCCGCGCGAAGCGGTGGCCGCAGAAGAGCCAAAGCCCAGCCTGTGCCGGGAGATGTCGGCCTGCTGAGAGTCCAGCTAGGGTTCCAGTGAAAAGAATTCAACAAAAGAAAATGTGGGTGCCAATTCATGTTGGTGGCTCGGCATGTCGGCTGTTATCGCAGGAAGCCCAAATTAGCTTTGTTCTGACAGTGTGGGTTTTGCAAAGGGTCTTCCATCCCTCGCAAAGTGCTTTGCAGATCTCCTGCAGGTGAGCACATGTTTTGCATCACCCAATGAAGGCTCGAGTCAGGTTGCATCACCCAATGGCTGGAAATGGAGGCTCAGTTGCGAGCGCGCTTCTCGTCCACAAGCTCGAGGACCACTGCCTGGCGGCAGCCGGCAGGGAGATGTGACCAAATCGAGCTGGTGACAGCCGAGCGTTCTGACCACATGGGCATAAACATCAATTTGGCATCTCAGGCATCTCACTTTGAACAAAACACATTAGTTGTCGTTCCATTTTTGGCCGCCTCTGGTTCTCTTCCGGCTCCACTTTGTTCAATATGGGAGAAAAACCTCAATAGACAGACCTGTGGAAGAAAAGCCTGAATAGACATGCTGTGGGGATGAACAAATTAAAGATTGTCAGTGTTATACATGTTTGGTCGCTGTTCCATAAAGTCTGTCATTGTTTACCACTCCTGCTGTCCAAGCGGAGTCCAAGCCATCTGGCGGGCGCCTGCCCCTCGCCGAGGCTCTTCCAGCGCTCCCCGAAGCGCGGCAGGTCGCCCACCACCTGCGAGGTGCGCACTCCCCGTGAACCCTTCGACTTGCAAAGTGTGGCAAGGGTTTTCCCGGTTTTCCCCCCTGTTTTTTGATGGCTCCTGGCAAATGCGACGTTTGCGCCATCACTCAAGGACTTCTGACAGAGGTTCTCGTCACCGTGATGGGCAGCTCGTTTCAAACCTTTCTCAAGGCTCCGGTTTCTGGGTCCTGTTGTTTCCCTGAGGCCTTCTCAATGTTGTCCGGTTGATGTCCGCAGGATTTAACGCTTACAGGTGGGGTTTAAGCTAGCACTTAAGGTTTTTGCGGGCCGCGCATGCATGGGTCCTTACACTGGCAAAGCGGAGAAGGGACTATTTCCATTTGCAGAATCTCTTGGATGGCTTTATGGATGCTTTTGTTCCAGACATCCACAGCAAGGATTGTGCCAAGTGTATCATTGGTCGAGGCAGGCCTTGGATTGGTACACCAGCACAATAGGTTGCCTCAAAGAGGCCTCCTGCAACAGCGCTCCACACTGTCCTGGGATGTAACTGGAGCATGTCCTAACATGTCCCCATCAATCTTAACAACGCCGGCAGCGTGCGGCTTCGGATGCCTCCATTGTGTCTTCAGACACATGAAAGCAGTGGCGCGGCCTGAGGCATGGCTCTGGGACTGGGCCGCAGTTCCATCCCGCAGCGGAAAGATGGGTGGAGCAGTTGTTTCCCCGCTTCCGAAGCAAGACGCTCAGTGATTGGTAATGTCCAGGTGTGAATACAAAATCAGACTTCCATGCCTGGTGGGTGTTCTGCTTCTGAAAAAGATCCAAGCTACCCTTCTTCGAAGTGTTTGTGCATGCGGCCGCTCAAACCGACTGGCCTTTGGCAGCACGGTGCCAGCATCTTGCCTGAGGCCAAGACCAGGCGCCCAAGAAGGGCCGAAAGTCCACGAAGCCTGAGTACAGCTGAGGGCTTCTCTGCTTCACCTTAAGGCCCCAGCCAAAAAGGTCCCCAAGTTGGCAAAGGGAAAGATGCTTCGGCAAGGGCCCTTCTCCCATGCTCACAATCCTGATTTCCGGAGGGAGATGTCCCTAAGCCCCAAGTAACTTGGTCCTTGGACAACCCGCGTAGGCGGCCAGAGGCCTTCTGTCTCATGCAGCAAGCATTCCCGCAACTTGCCGTTGAAACAATGCAGGGCCTGGGCCTTGAAGAGTTCCTTCTTCAAGCGGGAAGAATTTGGGCACAGCGATTATATCACTCTGACAAAGACAAGACAGCCCCAAAAGGGACAACCCGTACTATCCTGACCCATGCCCACCGCAACTCACGCCTTGCAAAGCCGGGCAATGTCATCGTCGCAAATGCACCGATGCCACGAGGCCATCGACATCACCACTTGCCCCAAAGAAGTCAAACTAGCCTCGCCTGAGAGAGGACCACAACAAGCTACCTCAGGACCTTCTTTACTCTTTGAAAGCCCCAGCGCCCGGTGCCAGCCCAGTGCCAGCCCAGCGGCTCTGAGACACAATGACCGACTTGCCCAGGTGAGTCACTGCCTGGGGCGGTGGCCTACGCCGAAGCCCGGATATGCGAAGGCAAAAGCATGCACGCCTTCGGCAAAGAATTCAGGGTCATGGTAATGCCAAACATGTAAGACGAAGATCTGTTTAAGCCTCCCCTCAACAGGAGCTCCAATGCCACGATCGGTGCTGCAACCTCAACCAAGCCAATGACATATTGCTCATGGACTACACAGCCCGCATCAGACGATCCAGAACCTATGCAGCAAAACCAGACAAAAGGAGGCCATTGACAAACACTAACCTCACAGGCAACACAACAGCTTGCCTCAACCTTCACCATGACTCACGCCGAAGTCCTTCCTGTTTGCCCTTGTTGAAAGAAGCCATGCCTAAACCGATTCTTTTCTTCTTGACTTTGGGGTCTCAAAACTTATTGAACTGCCCCTCTGACTCCTTCTAAGTTGGATGATGTTCCCTTTGGGAAAATAGGAGGCAAAGAGTGCTGGTCTTTCTCAAGCACGTCCTGCGTGTGTGTGTGTGTGTGGGTGTGTGTGTGTGTGAATGTGTGTGTGTGAATGTGTGTGTGTGTGTGCGTGTGCGTGTGCGTGTGCGTGTGTGTGCGTGTGTGCGCGTGCGCGTGCGCGTGCGCGTGCGCGTGCGCGTGCGCGTGCGCGTGCGCGTGCGCGTGCGCGTGCTCGTGCGCGTGGGCGTCCGCGTGCGCGTGTGCGTGTGCGTGTGCGTGTGCGTGTCCGTGCGCGTGCGCGTGCGCGCGGGCGTGGGCGTGGGCGTGGGCGTGTGCGTGTGCGTGGGCGTGGGCGTGTGCGTGTGCGTGGGCGTGGGCGTGTGCGTGGGCGTGTGCGTGTGCGTGTGCGTGTGCGTGTGGGTGTGGGTGTGGGTGTGGGTGTGGGTGTGGGTGTGGGTGTAGGTGTGGGTGTGGGTGTGGGTGTGTGTGTGTGTGTTTGTGTGGGTGTGGGTGTGGGTGTGGGTGTGGGTGTGTGCACATAAATGTCTACATGCGTACGCATGATTACCGGTACATGTGAACATGAAAGCAAGCAAGCAAGCCAAGCAAGCAAGCAAGCCAAGCAAGCAAGCAAGCCAAGCAAGCAAGCCAAGCAAGCAAGCAAGCCAAGCAAGCAAGCAAGCCAAGCAAGCAAGCAAGCCAAGCAAGCAAGCAAGCCAAGCAAGCAAGCAAGCCAAGCAAGCAAGCAAGTGGCACGGTGGACGGTGACAAAGGCGAATCGAGCATACAACCGTGCCTGGAAGATGCGCAAGATTGCTCAGAACTGCTGAATGCCGTGATAGAATTTGCCCAACCCCCACGTAAGCAGACAACTCCTGCAGTGCTTTCGTATGTGCGCTTGTGCGCATGCGCACCTTGTGTGTGTGTGTGAGTGCAGCGTGCAACAAGGGTCACCTCAAAGTACCAGGCGGTCTGCGATGTGTCCATGGCGAGGCTTAGCCCGGTGGCGCCGCGCGCACAGGGCAAAGGGTGGGCGAAGGATTGAAAGTGAAGAAGAGAGGTAAAGTTGGTAAGTGATGTGTCCCCGGCCTATTAAAGCAGCTCCAAACAAGGCACCTCAAAAAGGACAAGCCCATATGTTGGGTTGTTGGCAGGTTCTGTGGGCCAAACTTCTGTGTGTATCGCCCTGACATGATTACATGTGTAGGTGTACTGCAATTTGGAAATATGTATATGTGCTTGTCTATATGCACCTCTATGTGGGTTTTTGTATATGTGTGTATGTGTACACGTGCATGCGCATGGTTGCACATTTGTACATGTGTCTATGGACACGTCTATGCTCATATATCAATACATGCGTGCAACATATGTGTTGCGTGTGTACTTTGTATACGTGAATGTGTGCATGTGTGTAGATGTGTAAAGGTGTGAAATGGGAAAATGTGTACAAGGAACATTCCTATGTCTGCATGTTTGAGTGGGGATGCGTGTCCTTGGCAGAGTCAGCAGCAAGCATGCTGTTTTTCTAGGCACAAGAAGAATGGTAATGCAAGAATAACTCCATCTGCAAATGGGTGAACGAAATGAGCGTAGCAGGAAGCGCACACCTCATTTTGACGTAACCGGCAACATGTCAACATCGGAACTCTTCTGATGATATTCATCTTGAGAAGGCTCGCGCTAGTGTGGCAGCAACAAACATGTGTTGGGGTGGGGGGGGGGGCTTGTTAGGAATACCCGGACCGACCTGTCCAATTGCCGGGTTCCATCAATCCTGTCCAGCCCCGGCAGCACCCTGGCAATGAAAAGCGGGGCACTTATGCAAAGGGCTGCCTGGGTTCTCCTTTTGGACCTTTGACAGGAGCCCCGAAGCCTCAACTCAAACCGAGAGGCCCTGCAGCGCCCACAGGAGCTCGCCTGTCGGCCATCTATCCCCCGCACGCCGCACGCCTGACCCTGGCTGTTGGCTAGGCGCTCCGGCAACGTCTAGAAAACTTGACTTACGTGTTCCAGCGAGATTGACGAAAAGGAATGCCAAGCAAAGAGGAAAAGGGCCTTGCTCTTTCTTGGACCACCTCTGCCACCCAAGATCGTTGGCCAAAGTGTTGGAGGCAAACATGCCATCAAAAAACTCCTGCATCAGCACCTGAATGCAAAGAGCATTGCTCTATAGAGGGATTTCCAGCGCCTTTTCTCTGACAACCAAAGCACTCCACCCAGCAGGTATGTTCGCGTTCATTCCACCTCGTGTGTGTTCGGGGAACGTTTTTGCATTGCAATTGAAGGGGCGAGCAATACGGAGAGACACCGAAACGACGGCCTCGAGGCTGCCTGGCCTGCGAGGTCAAGTCATCACCAGGGCGTACCTCAAGCCGCTTCAGCGACTTTGCCATGAGACTCCAAGAAGCTGACAAAAGGGCCCTGGGCCTGTAGCGTGGTCAATCGGGGCAAAACAAGTAGCTGTAAAACGCTTAGCCACCTGTCAGTGAGTTGAATCCAACACATCAGATAAAGACAGCATTGATCATTGGTCGTTGACACTTTCGCGGCACCTCTGCATAGAACCCGCAGCGGCTCTGCAACCGCAGGGGGCCCTAGCGAGAGGAAGCGATGCCATGTATTCCGTTTGACTTGTGCCTTTAGAATTCATTGCTGGGCCCTGCCCTCACCTCTGATAAACTCACCCTCCCACTTTGGAGCTGAGCACATTGAACCTTCAGGAACATGCACGTGTGCACTCACACAGGATGCACGCCTCTGATGCCTTGTACATCTGCCGGATTATCCCAACCTGGCAATGCTGAACTGTCGATTTGTTTGCAGGATGGCATCGCATGGAAGGCAACAAGAAGATAAAGTATTAATCAAAGTCAAAACGATGGAAAGAAATACCTGACTACGTTCGTGGTAGAGAGGTGTGGCTGGATGTCAAAGCTCAAGGTACCACAGAGGAATCCAAATACCTCCAGCAAAAGAGGCACGGGCAAAACTGGTGGCGGCTGCAGGGTCAACAGCAGCAACAAAACGCGTACAGCAGCCACAAACAGCAACAGCAAACTGTCCTTCACATCTTCCACAAACTCTACAAATCCAGACGTCCTTGTGCCGCATTCCAAAAGGCCGGAAGTCACGTGAAGCACCCGTCCCCACAAAACAATGCGGAAAAGCATGCAGCTAAGGCAACATCCACAAACTGCCAAACCACCTCGCCCAAGCACCCAAGCACTGAACCGAGATTTCTCTAGGCGAGCAATTGCGACTCTGCACCGGCTCTAGCCCTGGGCACTCCGCACCGGCTCCTCTCGCCGCTCAAGCCGCCAGGCACCAAAGCCAGGAGGGTCCTAAGAGCTTGGCACTTCGGTTTGGGGATCCCCCACAATGCGCAAAACACAAACCAGAAGAACAAGAAGCAACCTGCCAGTCTTCAGCCATCTTGAGTCAAAACAAAATGCGTCACCAAACTGCGTGAGTGAGTACGCGCAGTTGCATGGCTCAATGCCTGTTGCTCACTGCAAGGGGCTAATCCCGGTATAAAGACGAAATCAATGCAGTAAGCGTCATAAGTGTCTGCGAAACTGGATGATCCTCCAGTCTCTCTGATCTCCCGCCCCATGTTGGCCCCGCCTCCCCTTGCACCGCAGGAGGCAGAACCGCGCTGGCAGGCCAAACCACATGCCCTGCACGCACCAACCTCAAGGGATCAGACTTGAGTATGGCTCCCATTTCGGAGAGACATCTTTGTATTCTGTGAGGTTTCCAGCGGAGCTTCCAATTTAGGGGTCTATACATCTCTACACTGGGATTGCACTGGAGAATACCCCTATCAGCAAAGTTAAAAACCGCTACCAGTAGCAGGAAGTGCCTTCACTGTGAGCGGTTTGTTCTTTTTCCACAAGGCTCAGAGCTGGTTCAATTCCTGCTCATCAGGAAGTCGGAAGAGCTTGAAGAACTTGCTGATCGCCGGCATGATCTGGCAAGTTGAACCCAAATGTGCTGAACCGAAATGTGCTGTCTGGGGAATACTACCGCTCAGTAATCCAAAAAATACAGCTGCCAGGGAGCGGACAATCATGCCCAAGCTAAAGCTTCTCTTGGAACAGTTTGCAGTCAACGGATCACAGCTATCATGCGCCAGGTCACATTATCTGCCACCCACGGCGTGAACAGGATCGCACCAATGTAGATCAGCGGTTTGAAGGGGATAGATGTTGCATAGGCTCCTGCGATACTCGGCACATGAAGTCCCACTCTACAGCCGAATTGCGCACAAGTTGAATTGCCATCATCCAAAAGCGCCTGCCATCACCAGACTCATGCTTGCAGCGCCAGAGAGAACACTGGTGTAGTACGCGTAGGTGATGAAAGGGACGTTCAGGGTCCAATAGAGGGTGTAGGACTCGGAATGCATCAAAATGTTGGCGTATCGGCAAACAAGGGATACTGCTCTCCACAAAGCCAATATTGTCAAGATGGAATGCCAGAAATCGTTCGCATGCAGAAAACAAAAGCAGTGATTCTAGAAAATCACTTTTTTACACTGCAAACATGTGACGCATAAAGATGGAGCTCGCCCAAGATGCAGAAACATTGAAATTCGGATCAATGATGCAGGACGTGCCCCAGCGATCGACTCCCTTTAGATGAGGGGTATCAACCTATGGGGTATATGAGGGCTACATGCAGGCATATTATATCAGGGGTACCCACTCAAGGGCATACTCAAAAGATGTATCTAGCGACCAGGTTGTACTGAACTAAATGGTCTGACCTGCAAAGACTCCACCGATCGCAATTGCTCGGCGCTTTATGTGGTCAGAGGGGGCCGACAAGCCCTGACAGCTGGTGGGGGCTTCGAACAGCCTGCCCTAACATGCAAAGGTCCAATAAGCTCGCCAAGTTATATGCAAATTTGACCAGCTGTAAGCTTAGCTCCTGCCTGCCCATCTCTAGCACTTCTGGTGGTGTGATTTCTTCGAGACAAGGCAGCATGTTCGGGAACCCCTTGGGCCCATTTCAGTAAAGGTTACCAATCCCAAGCCTTCAGCCTCTGCCAAGGCGCCAGGATCAGGGAGATAGGGAAGGCTGGGCCCAGGCCCTGCGCCAGCAACCATCCTCAGCTGGGCCGCATCCCCCTCCCACTCCCACCCGATGGCAGCGAACTGGAGAAGCCTGCTCAAAGTTGGGCTTTGTGCCTCCAGATGGTTGCCTTCACTGTGGTTTCATGGTAGCTCATGGTAGTTTCCAAGCGACACTTCTCCTCTGGCTATGTTGCGCACAAAGGTCCGTTTAAGCTTTTGGTGACTCTCAAACAAATCTCGACATGGCTCAATGGCAGCAGCTGCCTAAACTCCCAGTCCAACCGAAAACCCAAGGGGAACAACACATAAGTGCCGTCATTGACCCATTGAGCCACAAATCAGAGTCCAGTCTCAAGCGCCGAAGCACCTTATTTCAAGCACAAGCTGGGCCAAGCTGTCGCCTCACATGCCGAAAGCCGAGGAGCTCTCCTCATTGGACATCTGCATGAGCTTCTCGAAGCTCAAATCCTGACGCTTCTCGAACCCCAACGTGGGTCCTTGCAAAACAAAATTGCATTTGGGCTGTCCCATTCATTTCTGTTGAAATCCACTCCAAGAAGGGTACCAGCTCAAAAAAATACTCACACACATGTCTATACATACATATATATATACAAGTATATATATATATATATACAAGTATATATGTATATACAAGTGTATATATATATATATACTTGTATATGTATATATAAATATGAATCGCAGCCCGTGCCTCTCGCACCTCGCGGACCTTGCGCTCCGCCTCATCCAGGGTCATCATCTCCGCGGGTTTGGAGCCGCCCAGGGACTCGACCACCTTGGCTAAGTCCTCCACCTAGCGACGACTCTCCGAAGCTCTCGGGAGAAGAGATGGCTGTGGCTCAAAAAGCCGGTACCAAAATGGAACCCTGGTAAGTGGAAACATGGACCAAAACCTGCGTAACTCCTCCTGGTCAATTTTGAGCCCCACCCAGATCGCAGTTGACTGCTTTGGGCATGGAAAACATCGATGCAGTTGAAATGATGCAGAACATGTCGAGATCACAGGAACTCCAGAGTGGGAATCCGCCATCCTTTGACTCCATGCCGTCCACCAATTACAAAAACTTCACCACCCTAAGTCTAAGCTCTGCAAAGAGTCCATCCGGATTGGGAAGGGCCTTGTGACCATCCCAAAGGGGGAGACGATCCTATAGAAACAACTCCACGCGAGATCCCTTCTGTTCGGGTTTGTGAAAGAACACATGGCACATGTAGACTCAGTGAATGTGAGAAGATTTGAGGCAGTGGCGCAGGCCAAGCTATGAAATATGTAAGCCAGATAAGAGCGTTGACTTGGCGCACCAACAATGGCAAAAAGCATTGCTGGAAGCAAGTAGAGAAGAGTAAGTCGATCTTATTCGGCAAGATGGTCGGCACTCGAGCAAGCCCCAAACAACTTGCAGGACAGGGGTTAAATAGCCGGGCTGAAGAGGTGGGGCTGGGAAGCAAATACACTTGCCGAGTCAATCACCGACAGCCAAGCACATACATTGATCAAACAAAGGCAAAACATCCAGAAATCCAAACTCGGAACGCTCTTCAGTCGACTCGCCGATCACGACAACGAAGTCACGCAACCCCGGCCTCCTGTTTGAGCTTCGGATATTCGGGAGAATTCTCCTCCTCCGCCTCCCATCCATCGCTGCCAAAATACTGCATGCTCTGCCACAAGATTCACAGGTCACGATTTCTGTGTCATCCCTCTACTACACTGGCCCTTTCGATTGGCATTGGTTCCATCCGGCTTTGCCTCTACACTACCCACCGCACACGGGCTGAAGTCTAATTGCTGGTGCACTGCAAGCGCCTGCTTCATTTTGGTCCACGCCAAGTTGAACTTGTAAGTTTCGAACTCAAGCTTGGCAGGATCCTAAGTCTGGGAAGGCGCACTCACTGGCAGATTTCACAAACACAGAGCGCCGAAAATCCATCCGTTTATGTGAGCCATGCGGTCGGGTGCCAGCTCGGGTTTCATTTCCAGTTGATCTTCATGTGGCATCAGATCGGCTCGGTCAAATCAGCGATCGCTTCAGTCAAAAGTCTCCCTCAGTCGCGGCCTTGGAGTCCACCTTTGCCTGGATCGCAACTGGAGCGTGACCGGAGGAATTGAGTCACGTGACCGGAGGCACTGTGCCAGTATGGCCGTATCGACTCTCATGCACTCGCTGAAGCAGTAAGTCACCAAATTGTAAGTGGTTCCAACAAGAACTGACTTTTCATGTTTTCTGCAAAAAACACGGTAAGCTCAAGAAGCATCGCGTTTCGACCGCCTTGCGAGGCTCTGTGCCTCCTAAAGAAAGCTATCTTCACACAGAATGCAACAGCCTATCTGCTATGCCACATAGAATCGCATCCCGGCCAACCAGGGCATAGATCACTCCTCGGCCAGCAAGCCCTTAATGACTATAGGCCATGTTCCGCCCGCTCCCGCCTCGGTCACAGCTGCCAGGCCTGGGAGCATGCTATGTCGCCATCACCATTCAGGCAGCGCCCCCCCACTCACAAACTTCTCCGCTTTGGGCGGCAACGTCCCCTCCCAGGGTCTCAGGCGAGGGCTGGCACTTGGCCTCAAAGATCTGCAGAGTGAAGAGCCTAGCAAGGGAGAAGCGTGACAACGAGAGCCTGCAACCTGAGCTCAGCCTTATGAGGAACACACGGCTTCGCGGACATGGCTACCTCCATTGAAACTATGTCAGTATCATGGAGTTATCGTTAGATGCCTTCTCAACACCGCAATGTCAATCCCTGTGGTGAGTCTGCAGTGGCTCACATGAATATTTTCTGTATCATGGCTCTTTGCGTCAACTGCTAAGACTGCTTCAGCGCATGTCAAGGAACTTGCACTAGCATTCTGACACCACCGACCAGCCAGGCATGTCAATGCATTGCACATCCGTCCCAGGCCTGCAAATGCCTCAGCTCGGATCCAGCTAACGTGGCACACGATTTTCAGTGAAACGATCCTTGATAGACACCCGGTCCGTGCAACAGTGCCGTGCCATGCAGCGATGGCAATGTGTGTGTGTAGGCACATATATCATATATCATATATATATATATATAATATACAGACACACCCAAACACACACCGTGACATCACTGCGCTCGGCAGCGAATCCAAGGGTGCAGTCCAAGTGGCTGTCAGTGACCCCCAACAGGCACACGCAAGCAGCAGCGGGCCCAGCAAGGTCTTACCTAGGCTTGGTCCAGTATTGATGGGCGCTGCACCAAGGGGCAGTGTTGTTCTCAGAAATCCGCAACCAGCTGGCAAAACGCTTGCCAAGGCAAGCAAGCCAGACTGGAACAAAGCAGGAAGGGAGTCAGAATGCCCTCTCCGATTGGCCAGTCATCTCCCCAATCCTGCGTCCCGTGCTGATTTATGTCTCCGCCACCCACAGGCTGCCTCGTTTCAGTGACCAAAATCACCTCGGGTGAAGCTGCTTCCCAAGCTTCAGCTACCTTCGTCTAAGACCCCTGCTCCGCTGCACTGTCCGCCACGCCATGGTGCAAGTGTTCGCCAAAACCAACCCTTCAACCGGGGAGCCAGCCCTCGAAGACTCAGTTCTCTTGCCAGCGAAAGCTTTCAGCTTGCCTTGCTTGAATCTGTCGACCGGCGTATGTTCATGTCGCTCGTTCCCTAACATAGTGTTCGCTCACTTGGGCGTAAGTCTGCTAAGCCAATCATGTTGCGGTAAACACAAAAGCGTGGAAGCGATCGTTGGATGATCTGGCACTTAAATCCCAATGATGCACATCCCAAACAGACATGAGTGCCCATATGTAAACCCGTACGAATATATTATAATATGCAGACTGTACAAACACATATGCCTTTCAAACGGATCTGTCACTGGGCACCCCGTGCGCTTTCGCAGCCGCCGGAAGATCCCTGCGCCGCACAAGAAGAACCTGGCGAGACGAAACACCATGGCGGCGCATCGGAAGGTCAAGGTTCTGCATCAAGTCCCCGCAGAGCCTTGGCGAAAGCCAAAGGCAATAGCTGCAGTTTGTGTCATTTGTATCAAGTTGCAGCTTGCAAAGGCAGGTCTCTCCTTCATTTCATTCTGTTGACGGATGCCTCACCCAGCAAGTAGTCATACATGTGCCGCAAAGCAAAGCATGCGCTATGGCCACAAAGGTGCATGTGTCTCCCGCCAGAAAGGTACATCTGCTCATGTGCCCCGCTCCCGGTCAACGGTGTAAAAACATTTCAGCCACTCCAAGTAGTCCAGCAAATGAGTAGGGCTTTAGCTGCCCGCCAACATCATGTACAAGCACGCCTAGAATTTCCGTAATCCGTCACGAGACCACACCAAATCCAAGCAGTGCTGTCGTGCAGTGCGACTGGCGAATGAAGCAAGGCGTCGGACCTGTGCACGGGCTTTCCTGGGCACGTGAAGTCAATCCTGTTTGTATCTGTGTGTGTGTGTTTGGTTGTTCACACGATAGCTGGTAAATACAGAGATGAGTCGCACGATGATCTCAGTCGACAATGTTTTGACGACTTGAGATTTCGTTGATGGTTGTTTTGGAGCTCCAACAGCACATTCATAGATGACTGTCGGGGGCATCCATGCCTGATGCAACTCTTGCTGCTTTCCTGCCGCAATTGCGAGGTGGACCATGTTGATTGTGCGCGGCTTCTTGTCACGTTTGCCCATTGCATGTTGTGCCAACATCTGCCTGCCAAATCTTGTCTCAGTTGAAGGCTCCAACAAGGTGGGGGTGGCTTGCCGCCAGCGGCCAGCAGTAACGAAGTAAACCCGCTAGCCGTTCCTGCTGCGCTCCTGCGTCTTCAATACCCGTGCAGCCCAAATAGATGACTTCAAGAATGGCCCAAGACAAATCAAGAACCCATCAGCTGCAGCTCCCCACGCTTCTACCAACTTCCCTTGAGGACTCAACCCACCCAAGCCCAATCCTTCGCGCCCGCCTCTGGACCCATGCGCCAAGGCACACCCTCTTGGGCAAGGCAGTGCCCAAGAGTGGCGACCTGAGAGGGCTGAGCGGGCGAACAATGTCCTTATTGAGTCTTTGCTGAAACTGTAACCAGAGGTTGCTGCTGCTACTCCCCCTCACTCTTTGGTACTGGACTGGTCCTGACCCGCCGCGGCGCATATCACGGGTTTGGTTTTGCTGAAGCTCTGTGCAGGCGCGCAAGACACACGCTCAGCACTCCACACACGCCTGCCAAGTGATAAGCAAACCCGCTCGAGAGCATTCGATCGGCTGCCACTGCACACACGCTTGCCACATCACAAGCACACCCGCTCAAGAGCAAACGCTAACCACTACGCACGCGCCTGCCAAATGACAAGCACACCCGCTCAAGAGCACACGCTCAGCGCTCCACACACACACACACACTTGCCTTATGATAAGCACACCCGCTCAACAGCACACGCTCAGCTGGCACTGCAAACATGCTTGCCCATGATATGCACACCCGCTCAAGAGCACACGCTCTCAAGAGCACGTGCTGGAACCCAACAAATACAAGAAGCAAACGTTGACTATCGGACATCATCTGACACGATGGAAAAAAAACACGCGGGTCGGTACCTGTCCAGCACGTACTATTTAGCATCTGCTTCCACCTTGTCATGTTTGCATCGGCGTCCTAAGCCAGCTGGGTTCCAGGCAACCACCAGATCACGCGCGACCTCCAGCAATCAATGCGCAGCCCTTGAGGCTTGCCCTTTTCATGCAACTGTATATCCAAAAGACAGCCTCCGAAGAGGCTTCAAGACGAAACCATTATCAAATCAGCAATGGAATGCGTCCCTGCACCACTTGCACACCAGGATTTTTACACAAGAGCATCCTTCTCAATTCCAATAAAGCCTCACAGCGCATGCAAATAAAATGAAGTATACCTAGCCCCCTACTGCCACCAACAAAACTTCCCTGAGCTTGGCATCTTCTGCGTTATATCCACCAGATCAACAGCCACAGGCGGTTCTCCTGCAAGCATGCTTCATCTCCCCACAGCCCCTCAAGGCTCAAGCCCCCCGTACACAACCCCGGCGCTTCTCTTTTTTTTCAAGCATGGTAAGATGCGTCCTCAGCAGCCCCGTCTCAAACTCGACCAGATTCCTGGCAGCCGCCTCTGGTGACCCCGGCTCCGACTGCCCTTTGCCCAAGTCCGGGTACCTCTCCAGCTGCTGCCGGAGGATCTGCGCCAGCCAGGCTCTCACATCAATCTCCCGGCGGATGGGGCGTTTCAGCGCCAGCCTGGAGCTCCATAATATGTACAATCATTTGTGGGTGGATATACATAGTTGATGTAACGTTTCATAACATGAAATGACATCATGACATGGCAGAGATAGCGTTGCACAATACAATCCGGCCTTAGAAAAATGCCCTATTTGGAGTACGAAAAAGGCAACTATTGCCCACGCTGTCAGTGGTTCACCCCGCCTCTGCTCTTCCAGCGAGCCCTGGGGCAGCTCCTTCTGGTCCACAAACATTGCCCGGGCAGCGACCCAAAGCGGGCAGCCGGTGACAGCGAAGTCGGGCACCCACCAGGCCTGGTCAAAAAGCGCGCGCTTTGCTGAAGCTGACGAGGGGGGCATTTCACGGGGCTGACAAAGTGGTGAAAATGAGATGCTTGAACGCTTTGAGGCTCTGTAGTTTCACGTTAAGATCTCGGTAACCTTGTTTCGCGAGCCGCAAAACACTCTGAAACTTCGGCCCACCTCAAAGACCTCATCGTAGCCTTGCTCTGCCGCGGCCATGATGATGTCCCTCCGCCACTCCTGGTCTGACAACATGGTGCTGAGTGGGATCTCCACCTCGACCGTGTGGATGACGCTAGTGGAATCCTGAGTGGGACACTGCGGGCAAGCCCATGGGTCAGGTCTTCAGGAAAGAGGAAAACCTTGGCAGCATGCAACATCGGCAACATGACGAGTGTTCGAAAACCACTGCAACACCGACACAACACAGCAAAGAATCGAAGAAGCCAAAGGCCTCGAACAGATCCAAGAAATCTGCATCCGGCCCATAGTTTATGGTCACCTCCTGCCCCGCTTCCATGCTGTACTCGGCCACAAGCTCAACAGCATGCTCTTGAATCTTGACCCGAGCAGTTTGTCCCACGGACACGTGATTGCAAAGATCGATGCCCGGGCAAAGAGTGAGGTTCTCCCCGCTCCCGCCAAGGGCGCGCGTTTGCACCACCAGCGCTGCCCAAAGATGCCTCAGATCCACGCCAAAGCAAAGCTTTGTGACAGATTGGAAAGACAGTTGCCGGCCGCATGAGGCGCCATTCGTTTGGAACACGTTTTTGCGCGTGAACCGAAAAGGAGACATGCCGGCTCGTGCCAACATGTGCCCAGCAACAGCAGTGCAAAAGGCCAACAGCTCTGGCAACAAACACCAGGATACCCTGCCACCCTGCATCATTGTAAGTTCAAAACATCCAACTCTCTGCCCACGCATCACTACAGGCAAAAGAGACCGTCGCTTCCGCAAAAGCTTGCAAATCGGAATCTGAAAAGGTTTATGTCTGTCCCTCCACGTGAACTCCCAAAACTTGTCTTGTCCGGCTCTAGGACACCCCCATTCAATCATCAAGCCAGCTTTGCTCCAGGATTGTTTTAGGAGATACAAACTATACTTCCGCACTTTCCTTGCACATGTCGTCTGTTCCGCAGCACATCCCGCAACCACACCCCCACACCTCCCAGCATTCAGCCTGACGCTTGCGTCGCGCGGCTGCTCTTCCGTCACCTCGATCCCCGCCTGGCGGAGCCGCTGCCACTCCCTCCGCAGCTCCTGGCGCCAGCCGCCCACGCGGCGCCACGCCAGGCTGGGCCCCGCCCACTCCGCCGCGACCGAGGCGTCTGGCCAACTGGCCATGTGGCAGCTGAAGACCTATGTGTTTGCAGGGAGTTTCCAATCATAGGGGGCAATGAGAAATCCAAGTAAATGGACAAGAAGGCCGATTTCACTTTGTGCCCGGAACAACAGCATCACAAACCACCCTGCTGACCCTGGCAGCCCTGGTGCACCTGGCAAAAAAACATACTCCCGGTGTTGGCTGTTGATCGAATCTCCTGCGCTACCACCCATGTCCCCTCAAACCCAAGCAGATGCCTCGAGCGGCGCGGCCCGCGAGAAGTACTCCGTTCGCGAATAGCCGGCAGTCAGCAATGCCAGTCTGAGGGGCGCCATGGGCTCAGGATGCAAGGCCTCCAGGGCTTTGTCGCTCACGTCCCACGAGCAGAGGCACGACGACATGGGCACCTGGGCGAACAGCTTTGCTTCGGCGAGTGACGAATGCTTGCTAAAGGAATGTCCGTAAATCAATCTGGACGTTGCGGGATCATCTTAACATGCTGAAGCCTGAAGATCCCCAACGTGGCCAGCAGCGAAAAACGTTGCCATTGAGGACAGTCTTTTGAGCGCCACACGCCTGGGGTCAAAACTGCTTGTGACTCCTTTTAACTGATCTTCCTGCCCAGTCCGGCCCTAGCAGGGAAAGCAACACGCTGGCCACGCGCCATCCACCGCGAAGCTGCCCCAAAACCTCCGCAGCCAACAAATAATACAGCGGCGAATCTTGCTACTGAAAATACATAGGCCTCTCCTGGGGCATTAGGGACGAACCGCCGCTTTGCAATGCCAAGGACAACACTGCACCTCAAAGGACTACGCTACCTGAGCACAAAAGTTCAACAAATCAAGGTGCCTGAACTTAGAGGATGGGCGGTGCTCATACGCTCCAGCATTTCGCGCAGCTGCCCGTGCTTCCAAGTCTGCTGATTGTACTGGAGAGTGTCTCAGGCTGGTTTAGCGTGGGCTCGTCAGCAGACCTTCGGCTTTGCAAACGCAAATGGAGCGCAGGTGGACCGCCACCCCTATGGGGACAAACTCCACCACATGCCGGCTTCCTCCCGTGAAGACCTCCACCAAAATGTTGACACGACAACATAAGCGATGCTTGACCCGCACCACCCCGCTGGCAATTAGGGGCTTTGAGCCGGTGGCTGGTCAAGACTCCTTATGTGGGTTGAGGTCATGGATTCGTTAGAGGAACCCAGGCAGCGTTTAAAATCCCTAGTTGTGTAAGAGGCCCATGACCATCTCTACCAACCCGAATTAAAGGAGTGGTTTGACCATGGCACATATGGAGCTGTGGAAGGCGGCTTTCCGGATGATCCAATCTCTTGAGTCATGTCCCAGAAGCTGTGGTGGATCATGGTGGGCTCAATCAAAAGCAATCTAGCTCAAAATCAAAGGGTGCTTGTGTTCAAGTCGTTTATGAGCTTCTGAACCACCAAACTCCAATGTGATAATCTGGCTGGTGCTCAGTAGGGAATGACCCAAGGTCTTGGGAAGAAACCCAGGGATTCTCTTGAAGGAAACCTTTCTGGGAGAAAGGGGTCATTCCCCATGTTTTGCTGAGAACCATCAAGTAATTTGATTGTTGTTAGCCGCAGGTGCAGATTGTGAACGCAAGCCAAAGGCACTGAGAGCAGGACACTTCCCTTTGTGCAGGGCTGCGTCAGGCGAAGGAATGACCCCTTGGACGCAGAACCGCACACCTCCAGCTGGCTCGAATAAGAAGCGATGAACGATGCCAAGTACCTCAGAAAGAAACGCATGTCTCTGGTTCGTGAACAGATTGTCAAGTGCTTGCAGCTTCCACCTGACTGATTCATGGTAAAGGCATGAATCATGAGGATGTAGCAAACTGTGCTAGCTGCCATCCAGGAGCATGGTGCGATCATGATCACCGCAAACCACGGCCATGTGGGTGGCGTTGTGTCGGAGAGCTCAAGATTGCAAGCTGCTTCTGGGCAACATGTCGACTTCAAGGCCATACTCCTTCGCTGTTCTTGAGGTGGGCAGGGAGGAAAGGAGGGAAGCGAGGGAGGGACTAGGTGGATGGAGATGCGCTTGGGGGTCAGAAAAGTTGAAGCGAAATGCTGGATAGGAAATGGCTGCAGGATGCCAAAAGCCAACAAGGAGCAAGCCAAAACTTGACCGCCGAAGCTCCTCCAATGCAGCCGTCTCAGCTTCCGGTGCCTCCCCTATCAACGCGAGGCACACAGCATGCTAGAGCGTGCATGTGCTCGTGGAACACCACCAACTTCTCCAACTTCTCCACATCCTCCAAACCCTCGGCACGCAGCTACAGTAGCCTGCGGAGCCAACCCGACGGTGCTCGCGTCACATACACAGCCCAAGGTGTGTGATGTGAATGTCTGGTGGCAAATGGGAAGCTGCGGCAGCTGGGAGTCGTCGAATGGCGGCAGCGGGTGCCAGGGGAGTCATTGCTGGTCGGGTGCCTCTGGCGTAGTGTGGGCGCCACGGCCGGCAATTCCTCCGGCCACACGCAGGTGTCGCCCACCCTGGACCTCGCGCAAAAGAAGAGTTCCCGCAAGGGCCCGGGGACATGGTTTACATCCACCGCCTGGCACCATGCCGCATGCCGTCTTGAACCTGGATTTCTCCTGAGGCTGGGCCCTCAGAGCGGTCCCCAAAGCCTTCACAGCCGCCTCTGGGCCAAGCACATCGCTTGCATCCGAAGCAGATGTTCCACCCAAGGAGTCCACGTGCAAGCTTCCAGTTCGCGGCCCGACAAATGCCGGCTTCAATCTCCGGGGAGACAAAGGGAACAAGTTCCATCAGATGCTTGAAATCGTCAGGCACGATGACATCCTTGAGTAAGATTAGGTTTCTCCCAATACGGAAAATCTGCTTGGTTGCTCTCAGAGTAGTAAATGTACTCCTCCGGGACACCGAACAGTTTGCGAGGTCGAAGTGTAAATGTCCGCAGCTCTTGCCTAAGAAAGCAAAGAATGCAAGGTATTTTTGCCAAGGCAAATTGTTGACGTGATTGGCATCTTTGCTCGATTGACTGGTCTGCTGCATTGTCATGCGAGTGCAAAAGCTACCCGACAAGGAAAGCTGCCAGACAAACCAAAACCGATCGAAACTCGTAAAATTGTCATTGCAGGTAGCTCAAACTTGCACTGGAGCTTCTTTTCCTCTTCTGCAAAATTTGGCCGAACCAGGCAGGATCGATACCAAACCACAAGCCCTGTTCAAACGGATCTTGTCCGAACAAAAAAGCCCTCCCAGGTTCTCTGCGGTCACTCAATAAGTGCTTCTGTTGCCGACCACCGAACCTCAAGCAAGGGAGATTGCTTCAGAGAGGTCCTGTAAGCTGCAAATCGAAACATCCAGCATCCAGCTGGACAAAAACAGCTCCGCAGGCAATCTCGAGTCGCCAGAGTTATCCCTCATGTCCCCCACCCTCAACATAGATGACCTTGATCTCTCACATCGGCAAATTGCGAAATCAACTCATCACACCTGTACAAAGCAAGCCACCCCAAACCACCCCCTCCCCTCCGTCGCCAGGCCACGCAGCGCCTCGGCGCTAGACCGCGACAGCGGTATGCCGCTGGGCGGATTCGCTGGGACCCGGAGCCGCGCCAAAAGCTCGGGCCTGCGATCCGTGGACCCGACCGAATCTAAGCGTTGACGCAATGGACCGAAGGACCGCAAGGACGCAGACCGAAGGCTCAGCTCAAGCTGTGCCATTGGGTTCCCAGGGAGAACAACGTCCGCTCTGCACGCAGTGCAACTTCACTGCACGTGGCTTCAGCTGACTCGTTTCTAGCATTGCATCAGTGTTTCACCCCACTCCACGTCTTCATCCCTTTAGGGAGTGACCAACAATCTCAAATGAGCCAAATTAATTGCTCAAGCGACTGGCATTCCAGTAGCAGCATCGAATGGGTTCTCGCCCAAATCCCATGAGCCACCCGCCTCTCATGAAGTCGGCGAACAGAGGAGCTGTAAATGGCAGAGCTCTCGAGCTTTGCGAGACTGTCCATGGTCGCAGCAAATGGCACCAAGAGGCTTGCGTTTGTCTGGTTCACTTTTTCTCAGCAACTTTCTCAAGATCTGCCATTTGCTCGCCGCGCCGAATTGAAATGGCACGCACTTCGCCTGCGGCTTGAGCCGCGTGCAGCTGAAACAGGGGGAATTGGCATGATGCAAGTGCCCCTTCAATTGGCTTTATGTGCTGATCCAGACCGGATGCTTCAGGGTAATCTCCAGAGCGATTCAGATGCTTGCAAGCCCGCCTCCTCCTGCTCCTTGTAGGGCACAGCTCTCAGAGCAACCCAACCTCCTGAGCCAAATAGGACTCTCCGTTGAAGGAAGCCAAGAATAGTTTGCGGTCTGAAGCCCGCTTGATAGTCCCCAGCATATACCCGCGCACTGATGCACACACACACACAAACGCACACGCTGAAGCGGTGTCAGTCTAAACCAGCAGGTTCAACAAACATGCCCTCTCTCCCATCGGCTGAGCTTCGGGGCGGTCGACCTTCGCCCCAATGGGAGGTTTTTGGGCCTCGGGCCACAGACCAAACGAACTGCCGTACCTAGCCTCTGAGCCTCTGAGCACGAGGCAAGGCTGCTGGGCACCGCGGCGGTCCCGTGTTGCACTGCCTTGCGCATGCCCAACGCGATTTAGCAACTCATTCTGTCGGCTTGGGATACTAAGAAGCCTTACCGTGTCGGCGGACGGTTTCAGTGCGCATGCGTTGCGTTGGCGCAGGCTTTCCGGTGCCAGCTCGCAAAATTCCTCCATCTACATCATGTTCGGACGCCGGCTTGCCGGCTTGAGCGCCCTGCTGCCCCTTGACGAGCTGCGGCCTTCAGCAAGACAAGGGAAAAAGCATGCAACTCCGAAATTCCAAGACCAAGGGTTGCATGAGCTGGCTCTCAGGCTGCAAGTGTCAAGCAAAAGCTGGCTCAACCACTATGGGTCAGGCACTTGCCAAAGTTCACGCCCAAGGCAATAGAGATTTGCGCGGATCCTGCTCCATTAAAATGATTCACTCCCCGAGGCCTCCAGCCAGGCAACAGCTTCCGGGCTCACCTGGGCAAATGTCCCCTGGGTTTCCAGGGTTGGCTCCCTACATCTCCTCTCAAGACCGCCAAAGGTTCGACTCAGCTTCGCTTCACTTTGCCTCGTAGCTGAGAATAGTGAAGTCGTTCTGGCCAGCAACACAAAACGCTTGAGGACTTCAAAGGGGTCGATCCCCAAACCCCGCTTGACCACCGAAAAGACATCAACAACAATGCTACCAACGCACGTGCTAACTCGTGCGCCCCAAAGTTGTGGAAGTGAAAGCAAGGGCCACAGAAACAACACAGTTCCAGTCCTCATCTGTCATGCCGAGGCAGCAAAAGAAGCTGGAAAATTCCATCGAGGAAGAACATGCAAAAAGGAAGGCTGCACGGGTGGTCTGGAGGAAGCAGCCATGTGGGAGAATGTGGGGTAGCTAGAGGTACAGTTGAGCCTACCAAATGGGAACCATTGCGGAACGGGGGGGTTATTAAGAACACTGGAAAATAAGAGTGTTCGGCAAAATATGGGGAGGTTGGGATGTGGCAAAACTGCGACGAGTTTGGGCAAGTGGTCGCTGATTGTCTGCAAGTGTGACTGAGACACATCAGCATGAGGCTCACCCGCTCCTCTGTGACCTGCACACGAAAGGCCTGGCGCGCATAGGAGTACCGAGTGAACCAGACCATTTCACCTTGCCCCCTAACATAGATTCTTACGGAAGCTACCTGAAGCACAATGTTCTATCCGCAAACACGTTTCGGCACGTCGTATCTTAGTGAATGGCACGACAAAATGATTCGCCAGTCGTCACGTCAGCAACAAGCCAGGGAGCCCAGTGCCAAAATGCCAAACCCCCCAAAGCTGGATGTTGCGTGTATATGTTGATCACTATGACGACCACGTGGAGCGCATTGGCATCCAAGACTGCCCTGTCCAGCTAGCTATGGGGAAAGTTGCAACGCGTAGCTGGCAGATTGGGTCCTCAAAATCCAACCTTTGCAACCCTTTCCAAGGAAACTCCTCGGGAAGACTACCTCATATAGCAAAGCAAGTTCTTCTTTTGCTCCCGGCTTCCATTTGTCCCTGGCTGAGATGGGGGGAACAATTGGAAGGGGCTGGGCGGGAGGTTGTGAGGGATTACCTCCTCCAACCAGATTTCACCAAAAAGCTGAGAAAATCATGAGAATTACAAGGGAGCTGAAAATGAAACCTGGCAGAAAGGGGAGGTCTGGGGTAGATCATGCTAGCCACCAAATCCCATTTACGGGACTACTGTGTACCCCTTCCACACGGAGGTGGTTCTACCTGCAAAAATGCCACGCTTTGCATTTCCCCCAGCTCTCCCATTCTTGAAAACAACAAGGGAAAAGTCTCAAACGAAGTAACACAAGGGAAACTCGGGCAAACACTGCGGCGCCTGAAAATGGAGCACGGGGGGGGGGATTTCCCTGACTCCCCTGCCCAGATTTCCTAGCCAAACGTTGGACAGGGAATGGGGGGGGGGGGGTTCTACAGGTAGAAAATGCTAAAATGCTACAATCAGCATCTCCTCCCCTCTCCTGCCCTTAATGAAAGCAACAAGGGAGAAGCCTAGATCTGCAAGAGCAATCAAAACGAATCAGGTCTTTCCTCCAATCTCCACTTGGGACCCCCCCCCGCCCCCCAAGCTGGACAAAAATGGAAGGGAAAATAAATCCAAAACCCAACTCCCCCCCCCCTAATATTCCATTTTCGATTGGGTAGGGATGTGTATTGTGTGCATGCTGTGTGTGTGTGTGTGCGAGGTCATTTCACATCAAGTGAGGTTGCAATGTCTTGCCCACAACGTACCCAATTCGCAACTGCGCCAATGACCAAGGGTGAGGGTACGCCATGGTTTCCTGGAGTACTGAGAAAGGCATGTCAAGTTGATCTCAGCGCATCAAGGCTAAACAGCACTGGCGTGCAGTGCTTTCTGGAGTCTGCCTGACTGCCCAAAAGCATGGCTGATCAGTATTGAACTGTAGATGACTGTAAAGTAGACATTCCAAATCGGAACGTGGTCGGCTTCTCGGAATTCAAGTTCTACCTTTCCCATAATGTGGCTTGGACGCAAATGGTTGACTCCGTTCATATGAGATGGCAGCAAGCCTCATTCGCGCCGCATACCAAGCCAGCTCAAAGCTGAAGTGTCAAAGCCATCAAGCTCTCTTCCATGCCCCCAGTTTATCACAAGCTTTGCATGTCCTCGCCTCTTCTGGCTCTGCAGGACGTACTTCATCCTCCAGACTGGCCATGTCATTGCCAGATCATTACGCAATCGGTGGAATTCTTGGTGGCTTCCGCAAGTCCTTGCCGCTTGAAAGCTTCTGCAGCAAAGCACTAGCCGAAGCTTCAAATGCAAATCAAATGCAAATCATTTGCCGGAGTATCTCTTGCCTAACCGTTTTGCCCTTCCAGATCTGGTACGTGATACTTGGTGACGAAGCTGCCGAAGAAGCATCATTCATGCTTGAGCAAGACTCGAAGATGCAGGCCCGATGCATCGATGCGCTTTCAAGCCGCAATCATCAACCAGCAATTTTCCCGGCTGCAGGAGTTGTCCGGTCTACTGAAACTTTGCCAGCATCCGGGGAGTCATCCCTTTGGGTGACTGACCTGACCTTTTGCCAGGAGTTGTTGCCCATGAAAATGAGATGCAAAGCCTGGGGGAAACGTCTCTCTGATCTTCAAGCAAAACGGAGCTTTGTTGATACGTCTTTTGCCACAAACAGGGAGTTGTTGTCGCAACATTTGGCAGACCTTCAGCCCTCCACCCGGAACGGCAGTTCCAGCGCTGGCAGCGCCGACCAGATGCTGCCCTCGAGCTCGGTGATGTCCTCAAGCCTAGAAACGGAATCAATGCCCTTCGAACCGCTTACAACTATGTAGTGCGTTCGAGGAAGCTTGAGACGGGGTTCCTGAATCTCCAATCTCCAAACACTTGATGACAGCCCACAAGCAACCAGCAACCAGCAAAATGCCAACAAACACAATCCACAAGCAAAAAAACACAGAATTGGAATGTGATACCCTTTGACAGAAGAGCACATGCGTGTATTGCTATTCAAATGGCCACAGAGTTATACCCTGTTGCGCAAATGTTGCGAGTGAAAGCGGTTGATGCCGAGCCTCTACTTTCGACTCTGCACTTGTTCGGTGGAAATTTGCAAGTCCGGGCCACAGTGCATCCGATTCTGAGCAGAATGAGTTGACAGGGATTTCCACCAGCCACGCTCTGCGCCCCTGCCTCAACCAGTAAATGGCCGGCTGCAAGTGCACGGGAAGAAGCCACTCATCGTTGCCTTACCAAAATGGGCCGATTCCGGCAGCTGTTCCGGTCACTGCCTTCGGCAAAACCAACAAAAAAGAACGTGCAACACAGCAGTTGCCCGCACTGACTTGCTGGTTGGACAAGCCATACTGGAAACAATCATCAGCAAACCTACAGCTTCAATACACGCCTCAAGCTGCTATGGCCCTGGAGGAAAGTGGGCAAGAATAGCCCATGGCCCATGTTCGCTATGCAGAGCCCAGCCGGATGCGTGATTCTCATCGTGGAATGCCACCAAGAGATGCCCGACTTTTGGAGCTAAGATGTCTTGCTCTGTCAAGCTGTGTTTTGCCCCTCTCCCATGCTAGGCCCCTGAGCTGCCGTACCACCAACGACGCAGCGACCATTGGTCACGATCTGCCCGTCCATGGCCTCGTGCCCTGGGAACGGCGGCTCCTGTACGATTTCGCTGCGAATCGCGGGAACGACCCAACCAAAGAAGAAATAGAAACAAAGCATGTGGTCCGCCACAGAGACATTCTATTGAAGATGGAATGAAACATCACAAATGGGTATTTCGCCTCGGAAGCGGTCAACTGTCAAATTCGTTTTTGGATCATAGGGATCTTCCCAAACCCGCCCCCGGAACTGTAGTCCCTGGCCCTCAGGCCCCGCCCAGGCCGTTCATGTGTCCAGCAAGCCCACCCGAGTTTGAGTCCGTCCCAGGTTCTGCTCACGCCTCGTTTTGTTGGCTTTGGGCTACGGTTTTGCCTAGCTCTAGCCCTGAGGACGGCCAACCAGCCCACCCCCAAACCCAACCGCCACAGCACCCCACCAAGCCACCAACCACCAACCCAACGCAAAACACACGTTCAATCCGTACAGCTCGCTGCTCCTCCTCATCCGGTTGCGGTGACCCGCGACCGCCCTGGCCACTGCAAAAAACGACTCGCTACATGCTGCATCGTGCACGGGGTGTGTCTGTGTGTCGGGACTGGATGTGTGGGTGTCGGTGTCGGTGTCGGTGCCGGTGTCGGTGTCAGTGTCGGTGTCGGTGTCGGTGTCGGCGTCGGCGTCGGCGTCGGCGTCGGCGTCGGATTCTGTGTCTGTTTCTGTGTGTGTGTGTGTGCAAAAGGACATATTCACATATAAATATATATATATATATGTATACATATATACATTTATATACTTATATAGTGTGTGGCGCGTGTGCCTGTGCGTGTGCGTGCGCGTGCGTGGGCGCGTGCGCAAGCATGTGCGTGCGAAGGCATGCGCGCGCGTGTGTGCGTGTTCGCACGCACATGCGTCTGTCGTCCGGGTGCGCATGCGCATGTGCGCATGCGCCTGTCCGTGCGCGTGTGCGTGCGCATGTGCGTGCGCGTGTGCCTCTGCCTGCGTGTGCGCAAGCGTATGTCCTTGCGATCATATGTGCTGACACGTGTGCGTGTGCCTGCGCGTGAGCGTGCGAGTGCGTGTGCGATCGTGCGCGTGTGCGTGCGCGTGTGCGATGATGCGCGCGCGCGTGTGCACGCGCGCGTGCGCGTGCACCCGCGTGTGCGCGCGCGTGCCCGTGTGCGTGAGCGCGTGCGTGCGCTCGTTCGCGCGCGCGTGCACGCGAGCAGGCGCGTGTTTGTGTGTGTGTGTATCGGTGCGTGACCAAGACCTGTTTGATGTTTGTTGGCGCAACACACACAAAATAGAACTGGAAAGTAAGAGTAAGGGTTTGCTGAACGGAAGGCCGGACTGCAGGCAATGACAATGGAAGTCCAGGTTTGAATAGTCAAGCTGATCTGTCCACTCGAAGCAAGTGGTTGTTCTGCCCAAGTGGCGCATTTGGCAAAACCATGCAAAAAGAAGCATTTGAAGACGAGTTACAAAGAGAACTGTCCTGCTCACATTTCCCAGTCCCTCTGCACCTTCTTGGACGATGATTTCTGAGGCGGGGCATCTGCTTCGTCGAGGGGATCCACATACCTGCGTGCCCCCTTTGGGGTTCTCTCCCTCCCTCTCTCTCTCTCCCGTTAAAATCGGTTGCTACTTTTCCACACAAGTGCAAGCGCTGTAGTGTTCAAACAAACAGTCAACCAATGTAGTCTGCAGCTGCCAACCTTTTAACTCATGCGATGTAGTGAGCTCAAGGCCTGCAGTAGTGAACATACATGCAACACAAATGCAGGAAGTGAAGCATGTAGTTTGACGCGGCCCCTCAGTTAAAAGGTCTTTGTAGTACCTTTTCAACTGAAGTGCAAAACATGGATTGACAGTAGATGAAAACCATTGTTGTTCATCAATTCTACTGTAGTGGCAAAAGGTAGTAACCTGCACTCAGTAGTTCACGCTGTTCATGTTCCACCAGCTCGATGTAGTGGCGCTGGATGGAATTCGTGAGGCAGTTACTCATTGTAGTAGAGCAGGAGCTCAAGCACGTAGTGCCCAGTTCTGGGCGCGGTAGGCTTGGACCATCTGTAGTCGACTGTGTAGTTTGGAGCGCCTCGTAGTCTCTCATCGTCTATCTCAGGGCACGACATATGTTGGTCGCAATCCCTAAAGAATCGATGTAGCAGTGCTTTGTGGTATTGGGTAAGGTTGGTTATGGTGAGTAGTGTAAAACCATAGTACTGGATGCTCTTGCAAAGGATGGTAGTAATTGCCTTGTGTTGAAAGTCGTTGTGGGTGAAGGTAGTCATGTTGTAGTCCACCTTGTAGATGGTCTGTGGATGTTGTGTAGTTGGGAGGTAGTAGTTCTGTTGTACTGACATCATGTAGGAAATGTAGTCTCTGGTGAAGTGGAGAAATTGTCCTGAAGCGAGGTACCTCAGGAGTAGTTGTTGTCCAATCTGTAGTTGGATGATGACGTAGTTGGTGTTGTTGCCAGTCGTAGTGTGGAGTGAAGTCGTGTGGTAGTAGTGGACTTTGGCTGCTTCAGGTAGTGAAACGCTGAGCAGTGTGTGGAATTGTAGTGGGGCGTCCGGAGGTCTCCAGGGATGCAGTGAATGGGTCGTGTGTCGTCCAGTTGTGAAAGTGGAGTTGCTTGTTGTTGTGAGAGTAGTTGATACTCTTCCAGTGTAAGTGCAGTGAAAAGCTGAGTGTAGGGTGTGTTGTCAGGCAGTGGTGGAGAAGTGGTTGTCTGGTACTCCGTGATGTGTAGTTGATCCATGACAGTTGCCGGGTTGTAGTAAGCCGTGTTGCCAGGCGTGGAGTGATTGAAGCGGTAGTTGGACTCGTTGTCGGTCTGAGGGGGTGGAGTTTCTTGGTCACTGGAGTCTGTAGTGACCGCCACCTCCGGTGTAGTCGCCCTGTCAGGCGTAGTCGCATCTCCCATCGTAGCATCTGCAGTAGATGGAGCGGCCGTGGCTGCAGTGGAATGCAAAATGTAGTGAAACGGGGCAAAAACAAAATGAGCCTGAGTAGCAGCTATCAGGCAGGCGGCGCATGCAGACATGCAAAACAAACAACTGTAGTGTTGACTCAGCCGCCAAAAGTGCAAGTGGAAATACATGTAATTTCCTGTTACTTACATACCAAAGGTGTCGTGTTACATGTAGCTACTTACATACAAGAAATGTCCAAAGTCGTTGTTGTTATTGTGAAACTGTTGCGCTGGTCGTTCGTAGTGCTAAATGCGTATCCCAATGCTCTGGATGAGCCTGTGTAGCGTTTCTTTGCTGATGCATGTGGTAAACAAATCTGCGCTGTTGTGAAGTGTGTTGATCTTAAGGATTCTGGTTTGATGAGGTCTTGTGTGTAGAGAAATTTGAGGTCGATGTGCTTCGCTTGTTTGCTAGTGCCTTGTCGTGTAGCAATGCTCTTGCCTGCTGTGGGGTCCGTGTGGATGCGTAGGTTTAGCTTGCTGCAAACGTTGGTTTCAAGTAGGAAGTTTCTGAGGTGTAGTCCCTCATTAACTCCTGTGCAAATGGCGTGGAGTTCAGACTCTGCTGAGCTGAGTGCTATTGTAGCTTGTGTTCTGCTGCCAAATGCAACTGTTGTTCCTGAAAAGATGATGTTGAAACCTGAAGTTGATTTCCTGGTAGTGGGGCATCCTGCCCAGTCGACATCGACATGAACGTCGAGATCCAGGATGTTGTTGGTGTTTGCTCTGAGTGTTGTTGTTGGTTCTATGGTGAATTTGTAGCGCTTGGTGCCGCGCAAGTAGCGTAGTAAATGTTTGACTCTCTGTTGTGAAAGCTCTGTAGGTGCTGTGAGGTCTCGCGCCAGTTCTTTTGCAGAGTATCCGATGTCTGGTCGTGTGTATGCTAACCATTGAAGTTTGCCAACAATCCTTCTGTACCTTTTGTGTTGTTCGTGGTCAAGAAGCGCTTCATCCTCTATTGTTGGTTTGTAGTGGGCGATTCCTGGAGTGGTCACTGTGTTGCAGTTGGTCATTCCAGACTCCTCGATCATGTTGTCGATGTAGGAGTCCTTTAGTCCAAGGTTGCAGTAGTTGCCGAAGTCGTCAATGTTTCTTCCAAGAAATTGTTGTGGTTTGCCAGGTTCGAGGTAGCCGATGTGCTTGAGTAGGACTTGCTTCTGGACGGCCTCGAACGTGGAGTCGACCGCAGTCTTGTCTCCAAGTACCAGTAGATCGTCCACGTAAACCGTGATGTAGCAGTCGCAAGTCGCATTGGTGTAGACGTTAGGTTCTGACTTTAGTCTTACAAAGCTGAGCTTTTGTAACGCTTCAACAAGGTAGTCCTGCCATGCTTTTGGTGAACCGCGTGGTCCATACATGGCTTTCTTTAGTCGCCAGATTTTGTACACGGAGAAGATCGAGGACGAAGACTCCGTCTACGCCTCTGTTCACGACACTCCGGACACTTCTCGCACTACAAATGTCACGACCAAACTGGATCGCGCGACTAGGTGACGTCTCTGCAGCATTTCTACACGCACCCATCGCAAAAGACCACGACGGTAAACAACGTGACGTCTACCTTTGGCCACCTAAAGAACTTTGTCCACAACAGGAGCCTTTTGCGACGATTCGGCTTCGTACTCCTGGTCCTTTCTTTCTGTGTACCAATCTTGTAGGCATCGCTTCTTTTAGGATGTTGTGTCATCGACGGTAGATCTACTTCGTCGTAGACGTCGTGTAGTTTCATTTGATTTGACTCGTGTTTCATTCCTTCCAGTACTTGTGTTTCGTCATAACCTTCGTTGTCGAAGATTATGGGTTGGTCTTCTGAGGTGTCGTCGTTTGTGTAGGGAGTGATGGATGTTCCGTTGGGAAGTGTCACTGCGGTGGTTTTCTGTCGTAGTGGTTGTGGTTGTTTGGTCGCTTGCTCCGTTGATCTGATTGTAGTGTCCTTTGAGGTCTTCTGTGCTTTGGTTGGTTGCATTACTTCTTCCGGAGTTAAACGTCTTAGTGTTTGTCGAGGTGGTGCTGGTAGTGGTGGATGTTGTCGTCCGGTTGGTGAAGTAGCCATAGGACTATCCGGTAGTGGTCGTGAACTTGACGTCAATGTAGACGGAAGTCGTGGAGGTGGTGTAGCGCGTTGTTGTTTTTGTTGCGGGTTCCGCAACGATGTCGTCCGTCGCGTTCGTCTGTTGTCCGAAATCTTGCGTGGACCTTCTTTTCTCTGACGGTTGTAGTTGCGTATCCAACAGTGTTGCGAACGATGGGTTGTAGGTGTTCCGTCGTGGCGCCCATGGTGCGCCGGAAACTTTGTTCAACAGTGCGAGGTCGTATTTGATGTCCGGTTGTAGTCTCCGTACTGTTCGTACCGTTTGTACGCCTGACGCCGTTCCCACGTAGTTTTCTCCGGTTTCGGAAACTTTTCCGAGCCAGGCGCATTTCTGCCTCCGTAGGTCTGCTTTTGGAAGTTTCTTGTGTTGTGATGGAAGGTAAAGTAGTGTCTCGCCAACTTCGCAGATTGCTCGCTCGTAGTTTCTTCCCCAGCGGCGTTCAAAGCTTGTGTAGCCGTCTGAGTGGATGACGTAGCGATTTACCGTCCATGCTGCATGTCGTACTATCCAAGGTAGTAGACAGCGCTTTGTGGACATCGTCATGCTTTCAACCTGCCCTTTGACGACGCGTACCTGTCCGCGGAGTGTTCGGTGTAGTCGCTCAACACTTCCTTGACTGTTACTGCAGTAGGAGGGTGCATGCCTAACAGTCATTGAGCCGACTTTTGCCGCTGTAGCTTTTAGAAGCGCGTTGAGAGTGTCTTCGTTGTCGCTTTGTAGTATGCCTTGTGTTCTTCCGCACTCAAAGATGAATGCTTGTAGGTTGTTGATCATGTAGTCCATCATTGATGGTTTGTCCGGGACCATTACTGCCATACACAGCTGTGTAGTAACATCAACTGCTGTCAGTACTGGTATGGTCTTTGGGTCTTGTTGTGATTTGATGTAGGCGAAGTCTACTTGAATGATGGGTTGTCGTGATTGTTGTTTCTTGTAGTTGTCTTGGCGTCCTTTGCCTTGAACGCAAATTGGACACCAGTTTCTGTATGGTAGATGCGTAAGATTGTGTTCTGCTATTTGTTGTGGAGTGGGCTGCTGTGGCTGTCGTAGTCCTCCTGCTCTGTGTGCTTCATGATGCTCGTGTTGTTGTTCCTCATCGGGGTTCTCCTGGATGTACTCGTAGTCTTTCTTCACTGTGAACCTTGTTGTTCCTTTCCATTGAAATGGTAGTGCTGCGTTGCCCATGACTGTCCAGTCATCTTTGCGTTGTGAAACTTCTCCAAAGTTGTTGTGAGTGATTGTAGTTCTGTGAAGCTCAAGTGCGCTGATTGGTGGATGTCCTGGTCCATCTGTTGGAGTGAAGAGAGTTGTTCTAAGTGTTGCGTGGTGTCTTATCCAGCGTTCACCCTGTCTTTCCCGGTAGTCTTGGTTGTCCTCCTGTGCTGTGAGTGGTCTGTGGATTGTCTCCTTTGGTTGTGTGGTGTCAAGATTTGTGAAGAGCAGGTAGCGGGTTACGACCCGCAACCGAGTCACCAGCGACAGCTTCTAGCTGTCACGGCTGAACCTGCGGTTTGGGCGAAGATGATATAGCCCAGCAAAGCAAATGAGCACAAAGTGATACACGATGTGATCAAAGCACCCGGTCACAAAGATCAGGGGAAAGTGGATGGTGACCAGGTTGAAGGATGTGACAGGTGAAAGAAAGTAAGTTGTTTGAGGGTTAAATGGAAAAGGGTTGCGAAAAGGATGCCCACCCCCTAGACGGTTTTGACCTCGAGGATGAGGGCCGCTGCTGTGCTATGGCTAGCGCACGCGGGTCCGAAAGTTCCCTGCCGGGAGATTGAAATCTTGAGCCAAGCGGCCATTCGGCACGCATGGTTGATGATAAAACAACACGTGAACAAAACACACTTGATATAGTCACGCGATGGGTGAGACCAACCGTAACTTGGCACTTTCTCATATACCATGGTCAAACTTCCTGGCACGCCAGGCTCATCGAAACAGCCTCAAGAAACAATACGTTATGAAGGAAGCGAAAGCCATGTTGTTTTCAATCGCACGACCATTGACTTTGTTTAAAACAACGCAAGCACCTTTGCAATCATTTTACTCAAGCTCTGCCTCTTTCTGCGTGCCTTGGCTATGTGGCTGTGGCTCCAAGTCAGTCACTCAAGGGGCTCTTATATTTTGCCAGGTCATGGAAGCCATTCCTGCCCTGCACAATTGTATTATCGCACTCTCAACGAGAGTGGAAAGCCGTGCTTATACTTCTCATGAGAACAGACTACCTTCTTCCTAACTTTTGAGGCTGAGAGAATTAAGAGCCCTTTTGTAAGGCCTTGATTAAGGTCAACACAGGCTCGCAAAGAAGAAGGTGTTGGCCTAGCACGCCTGTAAACCAACAATATGATTGCTTGACATGTGGATTGCAAATACAGAGGAAGTGGAATGTTCGAAACTGCCAAGCCAAGGTGGATACAACTCTATCCTGCACCAGGCAGTGAATCTTCCACCATACGACGCTCGCAGCCACTTCTCCCAATCGTTCAAACAAGAGTTGGCAAAGAATCCAACGAATACTCCTGCGTGTGCTCACGTTCCAAAATCAAATGGAACAGCCAAGCTGCGTTGGCCGTCGATCTCCAAAGTTCACAGGCCTTGCAACTCGGACATCACCCTCCTCCCCCGCACCACAAACATCGGTTCTATTTCCGCCAGCATCAAATGAGACCCCCGCACTATAAAAATCGGTTCTATTTCCGCCAGCATCAAATGAGACCCCCACCCTCTGTTGTTCCTCAAAAACGACGAACTTCATAGTTGGGCTTCCTCAATTTGAGATGGTTCTTGTTGTAGCAGTCCGGCAACTTTTGCGACACTCCTGGAAACCTCCAGATTCCCTTTGAAGGCAAGCTGATCGGGATGGACCAAATCTGGTCTTTGGATCTCCCACAACGAATCAAGCCTCTCAGGTCACCGCCTGCGCAGGACCTCCTCCGGATCTTCACCCCGCCGCTCCTAACAAGCAAAGCGTCGCAATGCGCCAGCCTTGCCGGAACCTGCAACTTGAGCCAAAAACTGAGTTCAGGGACCTTGAGCCAAATGAACAAATTTGCGGAACCTTGACAGTGTTTCAACGGTGCCTTGAACATGGTCACGCGGAAGCGCCGGCCAATCTCAGCAGGCACCACAGCCTGCAAAGCATGCAGTTGCAGGACACGCATGTGCACAAATAGTCAGGCGACTTCAAGGGATAGCTCATGCATCAATACGAGCCACGGGCAACATGCATCTCAGCCGGTGCCTTGATAAGTCACCCTGTGGCAACTGTGGAGCTATCCCAACCTGCCTGCTCCGCATCCAACAGGCGTACAACTGTTTCTGGCAGGACCTCCCACGCCAGGCACCCGAGATAGTCAACGGTGCAAAGACTCCGCTCGCTGTCGTTTTGCCCAGCACCAAGTCTGCCCGGATCACCCCATCACCTGAGTGGCACCTTTGTCAGCAACCTGTGATCAACATGGAATGACTTTCCGGCACCTCATACGGTTGCTGCAAGCAGGCATCAATCACGCACCACCACCTGCACTGACATCTGCACTTGTACCTGCACTTGCACCTCACCAGCCCAGTAGCACCCTACTTGTATGGACGACTCCCGACACCAGCATCCCGGACTAAACATTGGAAGTAGCGCCTCAGGTCGGCAACTGACCATGGATTGGTCTATACTACTATATCCGCTACATTCCCCCAGACTCAGATGTCACGGCTCTCAACACACAGCGACCACTCCTGTCTCACCCAGCCTGGCCCTTGATGCCTTTCAGCTCTGGGCCAACGCTGGTATCCACCACTGGCGCCTTGCCCTCAGCACTTGCTCCAAATCTCCACTTTTCACCGAACCGGAGATGCTCAAGTGCAGTTGAGCTCGCCCACATCAAAGGTGAGCGCCCCCAAGCAAAAGCCAAACATCATTCAGGCACTTACAATATTCTCCCTGTAAAATGCAAAGCAGAAGGTCAAACCGAGCCACGAAACCGTTTGCATTGTCAAGCATGGAAGATGTGATGGGACGGACTTATGGCCAGAAAATTCAACATTTGTCTGAACGCGTGGATTTGCAACCCGGAGCCTTCTTGCCCTTCTCCTTGGGGTTGGCATTCAACTGCTTCGATGCCTGCATGGCAAAGGCCCATAGGTCCACAGCTCTTGCCCAATCAACAAAGAAACAAAAGAAACCAACAAAACAAGACAAGACAACAAAAGGTAGGAATGTCGTTCGCGGGTTCAGCCTCCTCTTTCCAGAGCTCTGCCACTATTGTGTAAGACTCCTTCGCACATGCAAGACGCGTAGCACGCAAACTATAGCTCTGACTCTATTGTTGCTTCTTGGCGCGCCAATCTCTCTAATGCACTTGAATGCTTGATGCCAGAAGCAAAATAACAACAGTTCGCCCTTACTCTCAAACTGCTTTATCTACGCAACATACAATTCATGCGCCCTTGTCAACAAGGACGAGCTGTGCGATCCTCGCTGTCCACAGGACAAACGTCCCAGGCAACAGCAGGGCGCTCGGGCTGATCCTGCCAGACTCCGGCGGGGAAAAAACCCTTGATTATCAAACCCTTGATCATCAAACGCAACATCTTCCGCAACATCTCCATGATACTAAACTAGAACACAAGAAGGTGACCACGCCTGGGTCGTGCCAAGCCGCAAGGAACACAATCAGTTGCGCTCTCCCTGTCCTGCACCCAAGGACCTTCGTAGGATATGCCACTCGCCTTCACGCGGGACAGGGCAAAACTCCTTGCGCGCTAGGAACTAGGAACCATTTATCTAAGAAATGGTTTCAATTCTGTTAAAAGTGCTAATGATCACCGCTCTCACTGAAGAGATTCATGAAGGAATAAGCACTCACAAGAAGCTATCCTGCGCCATGAATGTGAATCCCTGTATGTAACTTGAAAACAGAAATCAAACATGATTCAAGTGATGATCAAAAAGCCCAACACCAGAAGCCCAGTTCCGAACCAATCAAAGCAGCAGTTGAAGAACTACAGCAAACAACTTCGGAGTCACACGAATGCGGCCTGGTCAATGGACTTGCCCTGGCCGTGCCGCCGGCCCTCCTGAAATCCCGCCACCAGGCACGCGTCACACGCAGGGTCAACTGGGGCTCAACACATCACAATATGTCCAACAAGAAGAGGCTCATGTGCTTGTGACCTTCTAAAAAATGAGAAGAAGACATCACACTTGGTATGTCACAAACACTAAATGGTCCTGCCTGGAACTGGCCAATGTAGACAGAAGCACCATTGCGTTCCTGCGCGCGTGCACAGAAGTGAACTCAACAATATGTATTCTGCTGGGAGTATTGAAGGCAGTGTTGACAAACACCGCAGCAAGCAAAGCAAAGCCGATACAAGCCAATCTTTTCCCTTCATTTGTAGCAAAGCAAAAACTGTGTGCATGATCCCTTCCAGCTAACTTGTAAGAAAGGCCTGCCCACTGCATGTAGCGTTGACAAGAAAGACTGCCTCGTGATAGCATCATTGGCATGTTGCACCAGTTGCTGCTGTTTCTTCGTCGCTTGGAAGGCGTGATTAAACTACATGCTGCTCGTCAAAGCCTTGGATGAGAAATGAAACAGTTTTGCTTGTTTGAAGGACCTTTGTGCATCAAGCAGCTTACCTGTCCGGGTGCAAGCAGCATTGTGTCGCCCTTCTGCTGCGCTTGCTGTCCTTCAGCTGCCCTTGGCCATGTCTCAAGCCGGCTTGAAAGTCGCCATCATAGCTGATGCCCTTCAAGGGCAGAGTGGCTGAAGTTTCACTCGGCTGACAGCTGTTGCCTTTCAATGTGTCCGACTTTGCCAGCCCTCCTTTGAGCATGTCCGAGCACGCCAGCCTCTGGTACCTACCCTTCACACACACACACACAATCACGGCGCATGATGAGGATCGAGAAATACGGGCACGGTGCCTTGTGGGGAAGAACATGAGATCCACGCCCATGGAACTTGTGCTGCTGGAAGGTGCCCAAATACCTGCAAAGGACAAACCAAGCAGGGCATCCAAAACTTCCAGCTTGGGAAGGTTCGTCAATCAAACATCATCAACTAACTAGAAGAGTTGGTGGATAGTTCGCCACAACACATTCCGGCCTTTCGCCGCTTGCTAACTGCAAGTTCCCCTCGCCGGAGTACTTGCCCTGCAAGCGGGTCCGTTATGGGTGCAACATTCACCAATCGAAACGGTGTCTGTGCGTGTGCGTGTGCGTGTGCGTGCGCGTGCGCGTGCGCGTGCGCGTGCGCGTGCGCGTGCGCGTGCGCGTGCGCGTGCGCGTGCGCGTGCGCGTGCCCGTGCGCGTGCCCGTGCCCGTGCCCGTGCCCGTGCCCGTGCCCGCGCTGCGCACGCGCGGCGTGTGCGCGCGCGCAGCGCGCGCCGCACGCGCGCCGCGCGCGCGCGCGCGCGCGCTGCGCCGCGCGCGCGCGCGCGCGTGCGTGATGCGTGCGTGCGTGCGTGCGTGCGTGCATGCGTGCGTGCGTGCGTGGGTGGGTGGGTGGGTGGGTGGGTGGGTGGGTGGGTGGGTGTGTGTGTGTGGGTGCGTGTGTGTGTGTGTGTGTGTGGGTGTGGTGTTGTGTGTGGCTGTGGTGTGTGTGCGTGTGTGGTTGTGGTGCGTGTGTGTGTGGGGCTGTGGTGTGTGTGTGTGTGGTTGTGGTGTGTGTGTGTGTGTGTGCGCGTGCGTGTGTGTGTGGTGTGGTGTGGTGTGGTGTGGTGTGGTGTGGTGTGGTGTGGTGTGGTGTGGTGTGGTGTGGTGTGGTGTACTGTGGTGTGCGTGTGTGCGGTGTGTATGTGTGTGTGTGTCATGTGTGTGTGTGTGTGCATGTCGTGTGTGTGTAGTGTTTTTGTGTGTGCTTGCGGTGTGTGTCTGTGTGTGTGCGTTTTGTGTTGTGTCTGTGTGGTGTGTGTGGTGTGTGCTTGTGGTGCGCGTGTGGCGCGCGTGTGGCGTGCGTGTGGTGGTTGGTGTGTGGTGTGTGTGTGGTGGTGGTGGTGCGTGTGTGCGTGTGGCGGTGCGTGCGCTGTTCTCATGGTGGTGCGTGTGGTGTGCGTGTGGTATGCGTGTCGTGTGTGCGTGTGGTGTGTGTGGTGTGTGTGGTGCGCGTGTGGTGCGCTTGTGGTTCTTCTGCGGTGCGCATGTGGTGCGCGTGCGGTATGTGTGTGTGGCGGCTGCGGTGCGCGTGTGGCGCGCGTGTGGCGTGCGTGTGGTGCGCGTGTGATCTGCGCGCGGTGTGCGTGTGTGTGTGTGTGTGTGTGCTGGGCGGGCTGTGTTTTGTGTGTGTGTGCGTCGCGCGCTTGTGTGTGTGTGTCTGTGCGTGTGTGTGTGCGTGTGTGTCTGGGGGCGTGAATGCGCGCGTGTGTGCGTGCGTGCGTGTGTGTGTGTGTGTGTGTCTGTGTGTGCATGGGGGGCCTGTGTGTGTGTGGTGTATGTGTGTGTGTCTGTGCGTGTTTGTGGTGTGCGTGAGTGTGTGTGGTGTGTGTGGTGTGTGTGTGGTGTGTGTGGGTGAGTGGCAGTGTGCGCTGGGTGTGTTGTGTGTTGTGTGCGTGGCGCACCTATGGCGCGCATGTGGTGCACTTGTGGCATGTGTGTGTGGTGTGCGTGTGGTGTGCGTGTGTGTGTGTGGTGTGCGTGTGTGCGTGTGTGGTGTGTGTGTGTGTGTGCTTCGTGTGTGTGTGGCGCGCGCTTGTGTGTGTGTCTGCGTGTGCGCATGTGTGTCTGTGGGCGTGCGTGCGTGCGCGCGTGTGTGTGCGTGTGTGTGTGTGTGTGCCGGTGTGTGTGTGTGTGTGTGGCGGGGGGGGGACGTGTATGTGATGTGTGTGTGTGTTGTGTGTGTGTGTTGTGTGTGTGTTGGCGCGTGTGTGTGTGTGTGGGATGTGTGCGTGTGTTTTGCGTGTGTCTGAATGTGTTTGAGTGTGTTTATGTGTGTTTTTGCGCGCGCTTGCGCGTGTGCGTCTGTGCGCGGTTGTGTGCGTGTGTGTGTGTGTGCGCTTGTGTCTTCGTGTGTTTGCGCGTGTGTGCGTGTGTGTGGTGTGCGTGTGTGTGTGGTGCGCGGGGTGTGTGGGGCGTGCGGTGTGTGTGGTGCGCTTGGTGCGCGTGTGTGGTTGCGCGTTTGTCTTTGTGAGTGTGTGTGTGTGTTGTGTGTGTCGTGTGTGTATGATGTGTTGGTGTGTGTGTGTTTGTATGTGTTTGTGTGTTTGTGTGTTTGTGTGTTTGCGTGTGCGTTTGTGTCTGTATGCGCCTGAGTGTTTTTGCGGGTGTTCTTTTGCGTGGCTGCGCGTGTGTTTGTGCGTGTGTGTGTGTGTGTCTGTTGATGTGTTGTGTATTTTTCGTTGGTCTATTTGTGTGTGGTGTGGGTGGTGCGTGCGTGGTGTCTGTGGTGTCTCTTGTGTGCGTGGTGTGAGTTTGGTGTGTGTGTGTGTGGTGCGTGTGTGTGGTGTGCGTCATGCGTGTGTGTGTCTGTGTGGTGTGGGGGGCTGTGTGGTTTGCGGGGTGTGTGTGTGTGTGTGCTGTATTTGGGGTGTGGGGGGCTGTGTAGGTTGCGTGTGTGTGTGGGGCGTGGTGCGCGTGTGTGGTATGCGCCTGGTGTGTGTGTGTGTGCGTGTGTCTGCTTGTCTGCGGTGTGTGTGTGTGTGTGGTGTGTGTGTGGTGTGCGTGGTGTGTGTGTGTGGTGCGTGTGTGTGTGTGCGCAGCGTGTGTGGCGCGCGTGCGTGCGCTGTGCGAGTGTGTAGTGTGTGTGGTGTGTGTGTGTGTGGCGCGTGTGTGCGGTGCGTGTGGCGCGTGTGCTTTGTGGGTGTGTGTGTGTCGGGTGTGTGTGTGTGGTGTGGTGTGGGTGTGTGGTGTGTGGCGTGCGTGTGTGTGTGTGTGTCGGTGTGTTGAGTGTGTGGGGCGTTGTGAGTGTTGTGTGTTGTGTGCTTGTGTTGCGTCTTTGTGCGTGTGCTATGCGTGTCTGTGTGGTGCGCGTGTGGCGCGCGTGTTGTGTGCTTGTGCGTGTGCTTGTATGTCTCGTGCGCTTGCGTTGTGCTTGTGCGTGTGTGTGTGTGTCTCTCTCTCTTTCTGAAAACAAAACAGGTCGCACTCATTTTGTCTTGAGCCATGCATCGTGTATCAAAGATATTCATTGACTGCCTATACAAGTCCTTACGACCAAGCTCAATGTACATGTGGTGTCATAGTTAACACCCCGCCTTGGACAAAGCCAGTTTCTTGAAAACGCTATGTCCAACTTGTCATGCAAACAAAATGCACTATGCCAGGATTGATTCGTGAAACTCAAGTCTGCTGTACCTTCGCATGCCACTCTCACAGAAATGAAAACATCTCATCTGGAAATCGCATCATAAGAAATCCATGTTGCAAACCATCTGGAAATCTGCTCATCCGAAATTCACTCGGCTGACGCACTTGAAGCTGCTGCGCCATGCCGCTTGCTCCGTTTCGTCACCACACGCAAGCTAAAGCATGTGTGGCACTTCTTGTAATGAGCCGCCACTGCATCTGATTCATGTACCCGGGTCGTTGACCTACCATCAAGCCACTTGCAGTGTGACATGTGGTAGTGACGCCCGTTCGGTGTCACCAGAACCATATTCACATACATCTCCATCTCCTTGGAGCGTGAAAAATCCACTATCTCCTCCGGCATCTGATCCATGAGACGCAACCGTCTCTTCTCACACATCTGCTGCAAATACTGAAACAACTTCACACAGAACGTATAGAAACCAAACAACGCAAATCCGACAATCATGCAAATGCCAATGAAAAAGCTGTCGCTCTGAACATCTGCCTCCTTCTCAATCATGTCTGCACCTTCACTTCCTCGAGCGAGGATAGCAAACAACGTAGCTGTCAAGGCCTTGCTTGACTTGCATGCAATGACCTGCTGAGCTCGCTTTGCAATGCGGTCATACACGGCCATCTCGTACTCTGCAAACCCAACAGGGTTATCGCCAGAATCTCGAATACCCATGATGTAGCACAAAAGCCGCAAACGCTGCACTGACAGAACTTTCGTGCCCACATCTGATGGATTGAACACTGTTCCTATGGCCCTCACACTTATGTCTCGGCATTGCACGCGCTCCTGTAGCCACAACGACGCCACTGAAAGATGACGAATGCGGCCAACCCCTTGTCTGCTTGAAATAGCCCTCGCCACCGAGCTATCTGTGCGAGCCACCAGGTTTGCATCTGCCCGTGTCATGTATTCCCACATGTTCTTGATGTGGATAGCTTCTGAGGTCGTGGCTGTCAAAGCCATGTATTCTGCCTCTCCCGAAGACAGCGTAATTGCTTTCTGACCGCGCACAAATGACAGGATTAGGGCTCGGTTCACATACACCTGCCCTGAACTGATGCTACGGCGAGTAGTCTGGTCTCCGGCAAAGTCACTGTCACTCACGGCTTCAATCAAATGCTTTCCTGTCCAGTCGTCCTTGTCTTGTTCAACACGATTCTCCAAAATGCTGCATCCGCACCGCCTTGCTCCAAGCAACAAACAGTAATCTTTGGTATACTGCAAATAGCGCACAACATGTTCCAAAGCATACCACATCTTAAGTGTAGGATTGCTCATGCGGGAACATAAGACATGAATCACATGCTGAACATCCGGCCGCTCGTTGCTGATGTACATGAGGATACCTACTGCACTCCTGTATCTGCTGGTCTCTTCCGGTGTCAAGGCTGGGGACACATCAAGATTCAGCAAACTTGTTTCGCCAGTACCCCGCCTGGGTTTCTTCTTCTCGGTGCCTGTGATCTGAGCCAACTGGGTCAAGTGTTTCGGGTTGGGACCTGCCAGAACGCCTTCATGCCCAACCCTGTACACCTTCTTGAGAAAAGTAAACTCATCACCCGGTTCCCCAAATGGCCCTTCAACGGTGATCTCTACTCGCTGCGAAAGCGCCTTCAAAACATGGTCAATGGAAGACCTGTCACCAGTGAACACCATGTCATCAACATGCACAATCACGAGCAAACGAACGTTGGGGTCCTTATGCCTGAAAATGGCTGGCTGCGCCTTCATGTTTTCCAAATCTGCGCCATACAAAATGCTTGTCGCCCATGCGAACCAACCAGAGGCTGCTGCCCTCTGACCAGGCAAATACTTCATCAGCTGCCAGTACTGCGGGGGATCACCCCAGCTCTTT